AAGAACTAGATCAAACTGTAAATGTTACTTACTTTGATCTTATTTGGTGATACAAGAAACTTACTTACGTCTGTTACTCCTCGTGAAGGAGCATAGGCCGCTCACCAGCATTCTCCATCCAACCCTGTCCTGGGCAATCCTTTCCAGCTCCTTCCAGTTCCTATTCATCCTTTTCATATCTGCTTCTATTTCCCGACGTAATGTGTTCTTAGGCCTTCCTCTTTTCCGCTTCCCTTCAGGATTCCAATTAGGGCTTGTCTCATGATGCAGTTTGATGATTTGCGTAATGTATGTCCTATCCATTTCCATCGACTTTTCCTAATTTCTTCTTCAGCTGGAAGCTGATTTGTTCTCTCCCACAAAAGGCTGTTGCTGATGGTATCCGGCCAATGGATGTTGAGTATCTTCCGAAGACCGCTATTTATAAATACTTGTACCTTTTTGATGGTGGTTGTTGTAGTTCTCTACGTTTCAGCTCCATACAGTAGAACTGCCTTGACGTTGGTATTGAAGATTCTCACTTTGATATTGGTTGAAAGTTGTTTTGAGTTCCATACAAGAAAGGTTCATAGTTTTGTTTAAATTAAATTAAATTTTATTATTTGTTGTTATTAGAGACAATGGAAGTGTGCTTTTTGGAATATAGTTGACTTTATTTACCACTGATTTATTTACACAATTCAACTTTCAAATATTATTCGTCAAAATTTCTTGGTTAAATGGTTCAACCACAGAAATTTAATGCTATATCATTCGGTTTTCACATAAATTGGCCCCCCTAAAGTTGGTATAATTCTGTAAGCTGTAAAGTTTGTATTTTGTCGGAAAACTATTAGAAGTGGTTGGGGTATTGATAGCATGGAATAATAGTTACTATCTAATAATTGAGTAAATTTTAAGAATAATTAATCAGGAAATTTGTCAGATAGAACTGCTTAGTTTCAACGGAGATTGTAAAACGTTGATTCTCAAGTGTTATTTATATAAATTTAAAGTAGCTTCAAGAAATGTCTTCATATCAGATGATTTCACATCTTTCCAAATTTACAATCTTTCCATTTTCCTTATCCTCGGAATATTTATGCTATTTTAATATCGTGAATTAGATTTGTTGATTGTATTTTCGTATTAGGTTCAGAATTTTAGTAGGATTTATTATCCTACAATTTTACTAAACTGGAAAAGTAGGTATACACATATACCGTTAATCAGAGTTAAGCCATATTAACGTATACACCAAACCATATACATTAGAAGAAAATAGAAAAAAATTTTAGTTTTTGTCCTAGAGCAAATTCAAATGAATTTAAGTATTGAGGATACTTAATTTTTCAAAGTACAAATGTACATTGTGTAAATATCAGAAGAAATAATGAGTCATTAAAAATAATCGACAAATGTGCTCACATTTATTGGTTGTTACTAGGTCAAAAAATGTTATAAAAACACTCAGATTTAGGATAAGTTCATTGTTTATTACCGTCATGATAGTTCTAATTGATTTTGCTAGTAAATAAATAAATTTTATACTGATCAAATTTAGCTCATTCATTTATTTAAAATTATTGTAACAAATATGTAACTTATAGTTTAAATCAAAGACTAAACAACAGTCAGAAAGCAAGATACACTGAACAGCTTATTCATCCTAGTATGGGACTCATAATGGTGATCTGAGATCCCACTAGAAATTGAAAGTATGACTTCAGGATTTACTATTGGCTTTTAATTTCCATGACACTGGACTAGCATTCAGTGATTTGGATTTTTAACTCCAGTCTATTCACAATATTCTGTGAACTGCATTTGTTGCTCTCATTTATACTTATCTTACATCTAGTTTGTTTGGATCACTATGATCATGTCTTCTCACCAAAATTTCTGAACGTTTTCTTACAGTTACGCTCAAGAAATACATGAATATTATCAACTTATAATGTTTGTGGAAATTGTTCGATTTACAGTTTTATTTGATTTCATAGTTAAACTCAGTCTTCACCATATCATTGCTAAGTTACTGTTTATTGTTGTTATATTAACTGTCTGAATCTAATAAACCAATGAAATACTGTCAGATGCTCAAGTATACTTGACTACAAAATAAGAAAGTAATGCATATAAGTTGTAAACATCCAGTTGTGATTTTTGGTCGGACACGTAGTTTCCTTTGTCATCTTAAGAAGAACATGAACAAAGATTTTAGCAAAATAACATAAATTAATTGGTTGGTTCATGATTTCAATGAAAATCAAAAGTCTTCACAATCCTATGGTTACATTCATCAACTTCATTATTTTCTCAGTTGTTTACAACCCGTAATATTTAAAAATCATAGTTAAAAAATGGGTTCAAATTACTTACATGAATGATTTTAGTTGGAAGTGACTATGAACGTAGATCATTATGAAATAGCATATATTTCACAGCATGAAATCATGAGTCAATTAAAGCTCAGTGGTCTAATGGTTAAGTGCTCGCGCGCGAAGCCAGTAGGTCCTGGGTTCGAATCCCACGGAGTGCGGGATCGTGGATGCGCACTGCTGAGGAGTCCCACACTAGGACGAAACGGCCGTCCAGTGCTTCCAGGTTTTCCATGGTGGTCTAGCTTCAATTGACTCATGATTTCAACCTGTGAAATTTCCTAAAATCTCCGCAAAACTCATTCTGAAAATAGCATATAAGTAAATAAATTTAAGGGATTTAATAAAATTAATGTAAATACATATTTTATGAAAATTAACATTCAACGACATTAATAGTAATTAGAATCCACAGAGCTAAGAATAAATAGTTACGCAATCCACAAAGACTAATAATGAGTAAAAATAAAGTAAAGCTCACTTATTGATTTAGAAGAGCGTTAAAAAAAGCCAGTGATGTGATCAGTTATGAGAAAGGGTTAAACAAAATTCCATGATGTAATGAAAAGAACATTTGTGTTGTGAAGTTAGATAAAGACCAACAACTGTTTTGCTTTGGATAAAATAAATCAGATTTCTGGTTCCTAATAGCAATAGCTTCATAAAACTTCGGGAGACTGAAGCATTTGGTAATCAGATGTAGGTTAAATAATATTGAAGATGGGGCATTTATAATTAGAATGATATTTATTAGAGCTAGATGAAGTACATTTAATCCACCAGAGAATAGAAACGTTAAGGTTGATAATATGAAGAATATAATCTTCAATCATGTTTAGACGTATTAGGATGCGGAAACTGATGTTTCAACTATTCAATATGAAACGTTTTCTAATTTATTCAATTTAATAATAAACGGACGGATATCTCTCTCTAATATATTTCACAAAATTATTTAAATAAAATTTAGTAGTCATTGTCACTGAAGTCTTTTAAAAAAATACTGGCTTCATTTTCTCCCCTTAATTTACTTATGAGGTCTATAAAGATTTATGACTGAACAAAGTATATTTTACTGTCACTTAGTCAGCTAATAAACGGTGCAAAACGAATGTTTTCTGTCTGCCATTTAAATCTAGTGCCAATTAAGTTGTCATTTTTTTAAAAACAAATTTAAATTCAATAGTTGGATTCATGAGTCCATTTAAGCTAGACCACCATTGAAAATTTGGAAGCACTAAACTGTTGTTTCGTCCTAGTATGGGACTCCTCAGCGGTGCGTATCCACAATCCCGCCTGTGGGACTCCAGACAGGTGTTTACTTCAGACAATGGATGAATGGTTGCGCAAGATCATGGAACGATTAATGTTAGGCATTAACACCCTTGAATACTGGTTCAGTGGTTCAGAGGGGCCGGCCGTCTTGTGCTTTAAAGTTTTCAATAATGGTCTAGCTTAGATCGATTCACAAATTCAACTATTAAAATTACTACAATCTCCATAAACCCCCATTCTGATAAAGATCTAAATTCACTTTGAATCTTATCTGTCTGTTAGATATAACTTTCCATAAATAAATCAAGTAGATTGATTGTATAAGTTGAATAATATAGAAAATATACACATTATCAAATCGAATACACATGTCTTATATTTTGACATAAAAACTGTGAAGAAACCACTTTATTCGAAGTGTAGAGTTTTACAATTAAGTAAAAGCAAGCTGATATTTACTTGTGACATAAAATTTACTTCATTAGTCATGATTTCAGGCTATATTATTTAGTGTTTCTAATTCAAAAATCAATTTTACCTTATTCATACAATCATATCACATCCGGATGTGATCTTTGCACATGTTTTGCTAACCTACTTTTACTTCTAGTACAAATAGTTTGAGAAGATTAACGTCAGTCTATAATATTTTACAAAATCCTATAAGACAGTTAATAAAATAGCAATAATTTCCAAACAAGATAGATAAGAAATCATTAACTGTCGAATAAATGTAACATTGTTAGATTATTTATATTTAAGTATTCAGTCATTATAGATCGGAACAAGCCTCATAGTGTTGGTTGTACAACTGATTCATGAAGAACAAAAACGTTGTTGAATTTATTCAGAAGTTCTATCAATTTCAATATATTTATTTCCTTTTTCGGCAAAGATAAGATTAGACGAGAATTTCGACAATTTATTATGTTTCAGTCTAAATTTACCAATAAAAATCAAAGTCATTAATTTTTGAAAGTGTGCCTAAGACAGGAACTCTTATCTCTTGAATATGTTTGGAACGAAATTATTTAAAATCAAAGATGAACTTTACAGTATGTTTATATTCTCACTAAATTAACATTAAGAAGTGTATAAAAATAGTTATATATAGTAAGTTAGTGAAGTCTATTTAATGTAAAATTCCTTTTATAATTTAACGTAATCTCTTTTTATTATCTTAAGTAAATGTCAATCAAAGTCCTGAAAACAGTATACAAGTGACTAAATACATAGATTGGGTCATTCAAGTACTTTATCTCAATTATCATGTTATTTACATATAACATATATGAAGCACAAATATTACTCATATACCTACTAACATATTAACATACATTGTGTTTAACTAATTCAAACCAATACCAAATGTTAAGAATGCATTTTATTTAAGTAGTAATAAATTTGAGAACAATTATACACCTATACAAATAGATATAAATATATAAATAAAATTACAATATAAAATATTCTTTTAATGTAATAATTATATTTCGTGAGTGTGCCATATTATACAATATAAATTATTAGAAAAGAATTTTAAATTTCCCCACCAATAAAAATACATATAAACAAAAAAAATTCTAAACAATAACTTGATACAAAAAATGGCATTATCTAATACACTTAGTCAAGAATATAGTTGGCAAGGAACAAATCTACCTTTATTTGGTAGTGATGAAGATAAAAGAGTTAAAAGTAAGTTGGATTTATTTTTTTTTCAAAAATATATTTTGTTATGAAAAATTAGTTACATGATATTGCATGTTTACTAAATATTCTTAATTTAAAAAAAAGAAGAAAAAAAAAGAAGAAATGTTTCCTTTTAATTAGTTTCTCATCATTGGTAAATTGACTTACCATCGTTTACTTGGTAATGATTTTAGATTTTAATTATGTAACTTATATATTAGTGTAGTGTATATGACTAATTACATTTGTAGTTGAAAATAATTAGACAATGGATTATCAACTAAATGGGATTCATATAAATTAGACATTTTTACTAACTAATTAAAAACAGTGATACATTATATGTGTATAAATCTCTACTCACTGGTTATTTATTGTGTTTAGTATTTATCTTAAGGCTTTTTTTAAGTTAGCAAAGTATTCTTTCTATTTGGCTGTTGTATGAGAGAACGGTGAATAAGATTATTCCTACTGTCTGTATTTATTTTGCTTCAACTGAATTGACCGGGTTTAACTAAATAAGAAAGGTATGTGTTGGGACGGCTTTTGGGATCTGCACAGGCCCTAAAGGAGCTGAAGAGTTTCCATCCAATCAGAATATAATGGAGCTTTCTAGAATGTCAACGTGGCATGCTACTATTGGGCAGTAGCATAACATGCCTTTTTGCAGATTGACTGAATGATAATGTTGATATAACAAACTCTCATATCTATAAGTACCTATGATTTTCTGTACATTTTGATTCTTACCGGACAAATACTTTTTCAGTATTCTGTCTTCTGATCTGCGACTGTGGGGGTTTTATACGTTCGAGTGCCGTAGTTATATACCGTATTCTGCATTAATCAAATATTGAACTTAACAGTATCCACTTAAACTGTACTTGAATGGTGAACTTATTCGAGTATAGGTTTCTCACGGCATATTTCAGGGTTACGAATAAGGGATATAGTGATTTTTAAAATAGATATTCCTGATGTGATTCGTGAATATCATAAATAAAATAGTGATTATCATGCACTTAGTTTTTATGTGATGATACTGAAATACAGAATATTTTACAAAACATTTTTATGTTGTAAAACGGATGGTTTTGTAACTAAATATATTACATTTTATCACTGTTGCGAACATTACGTTTTTAAAATAATCAGTAAGAATTGATATAAATTTTATAGAGGAACTATGACTGCTAATTGTATGTAACTTTATCTCCCTCTGTATTTCTTAAACATTGTAAACAGTGACTTTAAAAACGTATTCTATATAATCATTCTATTCTAAATCTATACACTCTCTCTCACACACTCTCTCTTAAGGTATTTAAAATATTGTCTTTCAATTCGTCAAATTTTTATTCTGAGTAATAAAGAATTAAAAAAATGACAAAATAAATACTACTTTAGATAACTCAGTAGTTGAGTTTATGAGTCAATTGAAGCTAGACCACTGTGGAAAACCTGGAAGCGCTGGACAGCCGTTTCGTCGTAGTATGGGACTCCTCAGTTGTGCGCGTCCACTTCTTTAGGTATTGACAGTTTAAAAAATTATTCTATAATAATTACTGCTATTCTGACATGGTTTTCGGAATAAATTAGAAGAAAATGAAGTCTTTGATCCAGCTTACAATCTATCTATCTTTTATGATATATTAACGAAATTAGAAATTAAAAGGGAAATCAGGTATTGATATGCATACGAATATAAAACTATTTGGAATACTCAAAGAGAATAAATTAAAATTTTATATTTTTTTAATGTAATGTATATTGAGAAAAAAACAATATGCTAAACATCTTCCCAAATGAATGACTATAACAAGGATTAGGCTGTAATGTAATTCAATAAATTTATCAACAATGTACTATTCATTTACCATCAGTAAATTATGAATACTTTATGTACAAACTAAGTTCTTTTTAAAACCTCTATTAAAGTTTAATATTAACTAATATCAAATGGGTTTTGTCGATATTATAGTAAATTGAATGGTTAAGATCATGAGTCAGTTGAAGCTAGGTCACTATGGAAAACCTGGAAGCACTGGACGGTTTTTTTGTCCTTTTGTGGGACTCCTCAGCAGTGCTTCCAGGTTTTCCATAGTGGTCTAGCTTCAACTGACTCATGATCTTAACCATTGAAATTATTAACTAATAATGAGAATAAATATTGTTATAATAATATTTTTATTCTCTATATTTGCATTCATTACATCAATGCTCATAATGAATTCCTTAATACACTTAAATTTCTCTTAAAGTTGATGTATTCACTCTATTGTTTAATACAGTAATTTGGATTTTATTCTGTAAATAATTGGTATTCAATGATTAGCTAATAAATGCATCGTTTACTATGTTCACAACTAAATCATAGATAAATTTATATATTTATAGAAGTACTCAGTAGGATAGTTTTTTTTATTGTAGATAAATAGTTAGTTTAGATTGTTTTACTAGTGAAAATACAAGCTTAGAATTAATTTTGATTTTAAAATGAACAACACAAACAGTTACAATGTAGAATATACTTTTAATAAATACATTCTTTCAAGCAGATAAATCATTTTGTAAACATCAATAAAACCATACATTCTTGTAAGCAAAGATACGTGGTGGCTAGCAGCGGAATTCAGCATATGAGTTTCGTCCTATTTGGAACTCGTCATCTGAATGTACCTACATCTCATAGTTCCAGATTAAACATTAACTCTGAAATGCAAATACATCCAGCCAATAGGTTCAAAATAGGACGAAACTTGCGTCCTGGATTCCACTGCTAACCATCATCTATCTCTGCTTATAATTCTTGTGACTTAATGGAATATCAAGACAGTTCATACCGGACGCACATATATCAATAAAATACATCAATAGGAAGATAAAAAGAAGACAATACACACATAAAATCTTGATTTCTAGGAAAAATCTTTTATAAATTAATTTATTGTAATTAAGTCAAAACACAAAACAAAGTGAATAAAAGTTACTTTTTATTTTTACCTCTTCTTCATTATAAAAAATTAACATTCTATCCTATATAGTATAATCTTAATTTTTGTTTAAATAAACAAACACCATTGTGCATTGAACATAATTGTAATATAATAAACGATATATGAATTTTATTGATTTATAATATTAAAACAAAACAATAAAACATCTTTTTTCACTAATTAAATGTATGAAAATTAGATTCATATTAAAGAATAATGATAAAAAGAATGAATCGATAAAGAAGTTTAACGTAAAAGATTAAACAACTTTAATTGATATTTACATCATTCTGTTCTAAATATTTGAATAATCCATTAAATAGAGAGAAAAATTATAACAAGAATAGTAAAGATTTTCATTTGATAAACAGATTTTAAAATGAGTGAAATAAAATTGACTATTAAGAATTTTTCTTTTTTAAAAAAAACAATAAGACATAACCATTTCTTAAGTAAAGATGAATAGTGGCTAGCAGTGGAATCCAGGATGCGCGTTTTGTCCTATTTGGAACTTGTCAGCTGGATGTACCTGCATTTTAGAGTTATTCACTCTGGGATTCGAACCCAGTACCATTCGCTTCAAACGCCATCGTGTTATCCACTTAACTACTGAGTCCTAATGGCCACTTGCTTGTTCGAAAGGGTAAAATTTAATTTACTTGGTATTGTTGTATTTGAATCTTCCCATTGATGTTTAAGACAGAAATTGATCAGTCTCTCCCAGAGTGAACATCAACTCTGAGATGCAGTTACATCCAGCTGACGAGTCCGGAATAGGACGAAATGCGCGTCCTAGATTCCATTGCTAGCCACTATCCATCATTTCTTACAAAAAGCTTTTGAATTAAGACAATATCAAGGCAATACGCACAGTATGCATATATGTCAATAAGAGAATGGTCAATTTCAGTCCTAAAACATCAATGGGAAGATTCAAGTAAGACAATACCAAGTGAATAACCATTTCATATTTATCTTTTTATTTATTTATTTGTTTGTTAGTTTTCTTTTTTCTTCTTTTTAAATATTTCTCTGTCTTTTGTTAATATTACACGAAAATTCTACTATTATTGTCTATCAATTTATATAAATTAATGAGTTTTAATAAGATCTTGACAGTTATTTAGTGAAGAAAAGAAAAAAGAAAAGTGTGAATTCTACCCTTTATTCATTATTTGTTGAGAAAATTCTATAAAATTTTATGTTGAATAAAACAGTTCTTAATTATGATTAACATAATTAAACTTTCATTATTATGATTATTATGTATTTACTTTATGGAATAACATTGTCAATCGACATCATCATCATCATCATTATCATTATCACAATGAATATTGAATATTATTGTTTCTTTAAAAAAAAGATTCGATTGTTTTAATGAGCTATTTTTAATCACTGTGAGAATTACAAAAAAACAAAAGATGAAATAAAAGTAAAAAAAATTATTATAATTGAATGAAATTTTTTTGTTAAAAAAAAAGAAGAAGAATTAGAGAACTTAGTTATTTCTTGTTTATTTGGCAATTACAGTAATAATCATCATCATAATGATAATAATCATATGAAACAGTCAGTAAAAATAATGTCAAAATTAAATGACTGATTGATAAAGGTAATAATATTAGCACAATGAAGTATTTACACATAATACTTAAAACACACATATATATTTATGTATGTATGATAGATAGCTCTTAGTTCAATAGTTTTATAAAAAAATAATTATAAAGGAATTTTAATAAATAATGTCAATTTAAATTATGGTGTAAAGTTATCGACGGGTGATCTTATATCGATCACTAATATATTATATTTATACTTTTTGTATTGCATATTGAAGTTAAGTTTAAAACTTAATGTTTAATATATCTTGATTACATTTATAATGTTCTGCTCTTTTTACAAGTAATCACTGAATTATTGATTTAGTTCCAACTAGTAGTAAATAGTAATAATCAATCTTCCGTTTGTATGTTATTTTTAAGTTTTTTTTTAGCCAAAGTGAATTTGGTTATAAAATGCATAGTTTATGACAGACTTTATAGTCGTACTGACCACTGATATAAATAGGAATTTCTTGAACTATTGCATAATGAATTCAGTAGAATTATAACCACTTGTTTAATCTAATGATTAATCATAGTTATGAGACAGGATAGAATAAATTGTTGTGTTGCAGTCTATTCACTATGAATGGTTGGATAATTTAACAATATCATAATTAATATAAATTTTTGGCTTATATGGTTGGTTGCATAGGTTTTCTAGACAGTTTAGACATCAGTTTTAAGAGTGTAGAGTTTATGAGATCACAGATGCAGTAAAAATGAAGCTGAGATAATTTAAGTGAAATACAGGTGAAGTCTTTCATTTCCGCTAATGTGTTAAATTTATTAGGGCAATTAATATTCGCAAAATAAGTCCATTATAACCCTTCACATAGTGACTCATCCCTCTTAATTATCTTTATACAAAGAGAACTCAACTACATAACCTAAACGGTTTTGTTCAAGAACATTAATTCATCATTAACAATACTCATTTAATAATCTAAGAGTCTAAAAGTGAGTGATACATATGTCTTACAACGCTGGTTATTTGCTTTTATTTAAATCAGTAGGATTTTTGACCTTAATAGCACTCCAGTTATAGTAGATCGCTATTCTGTGCCAAAAGATATTTAAATCTAGATTTGTAAAACCTCTGTTTGGATCAAATAAAAAGAGTTTATATCTGTAGGAGAAATGTAAATATTTTATCTTTAATTAATGTGTCAGAATGTTTGTGGTCATTAACCAGTGGTATGGTGACTATGCACCTTGAGTAATAATTGTAGTTAGCTCATCAGTTAAAGTTTACTTTTTGTCTGAGTAAACTTTAATCCAACTAGTTTCTGCTACTTAAGTTTAAAATGTATAAAAATAAGTTGATTGTGATCAATTATTAGGTATAAGTTTTATTATTCCTTAATGGAAACAAAGTAAATTTGTAAGGCTTATAATAGTTCGTTATTTAACTGGTAAGACTATCATTCATTATTTGTAACCAATGTTTATTATGGCTATCTTCTTTCCTAATACTATTCATACCTATTAAACACTAATTAAATAATGAGTGACTTTTGTTAGAAACATAGTGCACACATTACATACATTCAGTAAGTAGTTTGTAACAATCATTGTAAATCTAACCCAAATTAAAATAAACTTTATATAATTGTGTTGTTTCTCTAAAGCCGAGTTCGTTAAAAGTTCATCTAAACAAAATAGAATCACAGATCATGATACATCGTTGCCTTTTATCAATTTCAGCTGAAAATCAGCAAATATTTGGAAGATTTAAAGTCAAACTTAATAATCACACAACTAGTTGAAACTGTTTGTGATATTTTTGTACAGTCTTCATAAAAATACAGCTACATTTTTGATATCATAATGTGTCAGTCATAACAATCTGAGCAACTGTTTCTCAAATAAAACCACAATGAGAATTTGTAGATGATTTCAATCTATTTGTATTGCCTCTATTTTCGACTGTAAAACTTTTAAATACTAGAGCGAACATAAATTGCTCACATAGAAATATATCCATTTTATTTTATCGACACAAGAAATAGAAATACATGGATTCAATTTATCAACCATCTATTAACATCCTAGGACTGTTTTGATTTAATGAATTACATGATCTTTCAATTAAAAAATGCATACCTTAATCAATGAACAATTACTGTTTATATTTGACTACCATTTGCAATTTTATAGGCCAGGCACTTGAATGTATACACCAACATACTGGATAGTAATAATTAGCACTCAAATAAACGTTATGAGATCTAATTAGTACGTTTGTATTCAATTGATTTCATGAATTAATGAATTTTAGACCACTATTGATAACCTGGAAGCACCGAACAACTGTTTCGTCCTTGTGTGAGACTCCTCAGCAGTACACATCCACGATCCCACACGCGGGATTCGAACCCAGGGCCTTCGGTTTCTTGCGCGACCATCATCCATTATCTTCGGTGGGTAACTACCTCACACCCGACACAAATTGGCTCCGCTACTTTGTTATAGATAAATTCAAAGTATCATTTTTGTTTACACAGTAGACTTCAGTAAACTTCAGCTTTTATAGCTGAAGTTTAAATGTTGTACACTGGTTGTAAACAACATAAACTTGAGAAAATTTCTATATACTAAGTAGTTTATTTTCCCAAATAAACTGCCATACTGAACACTTAACAAAAACTATGTTTAAATATGAAGCAGAACTTATTGAATTCAGAAATTTGTTGTCTACTTAGATTCTACAATAATGAGTACAAATGCAAAACATATTTTTGAGATATTTTATGCAATTGTTTAAATGAAATAGAAGTTTTTATGTGTTTTTATTTGCATTCACTTGGCTATTAACTTTCGTATCGTAAAGAGAAAACCAAAATTTATGTGCAAAATACAATGAAGTATACAAAGTGAAGAATCAAGACAAGAAATCAACATTGGATAGCTGAATTGAATCATAAAGAAGCTTTGTATTTATGTCCAAGACTTATTAATACACAAACTCCTTTCATATGAGTTCAAGCCTATCTCACACAGTATGACACACCGATTTTGCCATTGGTTTATTTAGGTACTGACTGAATATTTAAAGAACTGATTCGCTTATAGCACTTGACCACTGAGTAGTAACTTATCTAGTATTATCTACTCTATATTACAGGTTGAAAGTAAATGAAGGTACTCTGGTTTTTTAAGGACATTGGTTAGTGTGAACTAGTACCAAACATAAGCCAGAAGATTCCTGTTCATTGCCTTCAGCTATCTAGCATCACACAAGTACATAATGTTATCAACTCTTTTAGTTCAATTACTACACTATATGTTTTTTGATAGAAAGTAGGTTAAATTATGAACCAGAACAGATAACATTAGTCACTTCTTGGTTCATAATTGTTAAGTTATTTATGGTGTGTTTAAATAGCTTTGCTTTCCATGTAACTATCAAGTGGTGGGTTGGAACTCTTTAATATCTCGGAAAAAAGGATCTTCAGTTCAATTGTTTTCGTCATTTCATAAGCCTGAATTAATTTATCTGGCCAAAAGTGTATGATATCACTAGATTTTACCCTAGTCTTAACAAATATTTCTTTCTTAGAGATTTTTTGCTTCTTATACATATATATCTTGAAAATAGTAACATCCATATCGTTATGTATTTTCAATGTACAATCTAGGTGCAAAAGTGTGTTCAACAGACAGTTTCGTGGCTGATTTATTTAGTCGTTAACAAGTAACAGTTTTCATTTCTACTAGAAATATATGGATGACACCATCATCTAAGATTTTACTAGAGAGAGAACTTACTAGAAACCTACATAAATTTAGTGTATGCCACTAGAAGACTACATTCACAGAGGAGTCACAGGTAAACACAGAATTTCGCCTCTTCAATACTTTGGCGAAACGAAGACCAGACTGCTATTGACAAAATTTACTGTATAGAAGAACAACCTGACATGAACGATAAATGGATTTTGAAAGTTGGGTTCTATTTAAAAGGAAAAGAAAACTTTCATTGTCTCTAACCTGTACGGATGATGGCGGCTAGTAGTGGGATTCGGGATGTGTCTTTCATCCCATTTGAGACTTGTCAACTGGATGTATCTGTATCTCAGAATTCCGGCGTGGACACCAACTCTGAAATGCAGGTAGATCCAGTCCACGAGTCCTGACTGGGATGAAACTCGCGTCTTGAATTTCACTGCTAGCCACCATCATCTCAGCTTATGATGCATGTGACTTGAGGCAATATTGAAGCAATCCATACAGGATGCACTTATATCAATAAGAGACTGGCCACTTGCAGTCTTAAACATCAATGGGAAGATTCAAGCAACCAATACAAAAATGAACTAACCTGTAGATCTAGAAGACTCTGTTTAGAATATAGTCGGAAAAGAATTGAATAAAACCTAACAAATGCATATGGCGAATAGCTTTACTACCAGACTTATTAACAGTAACCCGAAACTAACACTTCAATTAAAAAGAGCCCTTGCAGAACGGAATATGTTTCTGCGGAGATCTAAAAAAGGCCAGCTATCGAAATTAATGGGCTGTGGATTGTAGTCTGCAGTAGATATCTTATCTTAGGAGGTGTCAGTGATAAACTGCTGCCTCGGGTAACCTTATGGTTCATCTACTGGTTTATTTGATGCTGTGGAGTTAGTTATATTTTCTGTTCAAATCATGTTCTTTCCAGAAATATATCCAAACACTACTTGAAAGGGTCATCTTCAGATGAAAGTGAATCAGTCAATGATTCTTTTACTGAATATCTGGTCATTTCTATTCATCTATCTACATAATAACCCTCATTTAAGATTATCCACAACGTCAAATGTACTGGCCCTAATGAAAGTTGAATAAGAAATTCATCTATAGCAAGGGCTTTGTTAACTCACCAATACATACCTGATCTTCGTATTCAGAAAATAACATAAATAATTCCTTATATAACCATCGCCTAAACACTCTTACCATTCTTATAGTCTGTTTTCGACATCTGTTCATCCCTTCTTTATTTTCGTTAAATTGGCTAAGTCGATACTTACCACTCATATCATCTTACATGTCAATTTTATTTTATCTATTTTCCATTATCGTTTCACTGTTTTGTAAGTTATATTCAACGCTTGAAATTTTTTGATATCTTTATTGATAACCCAATAATTTTTCTATTTATAACAGACTACATGTTGAACAATGATTGCAGCTACAACTGCACAATTTTAGTAAATGGAAGTATCGGAAAGAAAATTTTTCATTCGAATTATCATTACCTTATTACATAACTTATTACATAATTCAATAGTCACCGATTTGTTAGTTTCTCATTTTCTTTTTATAAAACAGGAACTCATTTTACATTAATTATTTTATTGTGTTTCATTTATTTGTAGGGGAATCTGGCTTACAAGAAGAAGCTTGGTGTTCAGTTTTGAATACACATTGTCCACGATTATTTGTCTGGAGAGTTGAGGTATGTTATAGTTGGGCAAATTATATTTTAATTTGATCTTTATCTTCGTCTATTTGTTTATTTTTAATTTTATTTGTGTCTAAAAATAATTCCTACTTGAGATTCTGATTTAAAAAATCTGGAATGATGTGTATGTTCAGCGATTACAGTTATGTTTTCGATAAGATGTTATTTTAATGTATAGCGTCAATACTTTAAAACTGCTGCTACCTATAGAATTTTGGGTAACTATATAGATCCTATATGTTTTGGAAAGATTATTAAGACTTAAATGATGGGATGCAATAAAGTACAAATTGCTTCGAACACATTCATTTCATAACAACAGTCGATATTTAGCTGTTTTTATTTGTGTTTTATATTGTTAGCTTGGAGAATACAAAAGCGTTATTCCTATTCAGTATGGATTACAAAATTACACGTTCATTTTAGCAATAATGCAGTGCCATTCAGTTACTAGAGTTTTGGTTGGCATAGATTAGGGTGTGATACTGATTAATTGGTAGTAGCTCAAATTAACAGATTCTAAACAGATTGAATAAACACTTTGGTTGAAAATTTATTGTTGGTATTTTCTTAGAAAACGTATGTTAGAAATAAGTTATAAATTTAAGAAGTACTGTAAATATCCAATTAGGTTAATTTTATTTCAGGTGTTTAATCTAAAACTGAAACATAGGGGAGTTGCATAGAGTATAAAAGTTCATCGTTTGATGTTCGAATTCAGTTTACTGCTGAAAAGTATTCCAAAAATAATTATTTTATGATCGAACAAAATGGTTATATTAAGCTGTTCATATAAACTCTCAGTAATTCGGTTTCTAGTCTGAATTAACTAATGACGGAGATTCACTAATGCAAATCAAAGACAATGAGAATGATTTAATTTAAAGTGTTGAATGTAAAGTGGTTAAAGACAGTCAACAAGAAACCTCAAATCAAGGTTTCAGGTTATTTTGACACTCGTCTTCAAGGTTCATCTATACTTAAGGGGGCATTGATCCTTTATCATCTTGCTGATGAGTGTTAAAATGACAAAAAATCTAAATCCACGGTTTTATGTTGATTACTTTCAATTGCCTAACATCTCAATATAGTGTGTGCTACGTTGAGTTATTAAGACTAGTGGCAGCATTGAAACCTAATCGATAAAAGTCGATAAGCACTAAAAGGACTAGTCAAATATGTTACTAGTCACCACTCAATGATCAACAAATGGGTACAATGTACATATTTGTAATATAAAATTTTATTCATTTTAACTTACTCATCAATAAATAGTTTTTTCTTATTATTTCACTTCTAGAAATTTAAAATTAGACCAGTTAATGAAAATGATTATGGTCATTTCTTCAACGGTGATTCATATATTGTTTTAAATATATGTTCAAAGGGTAGAGGACTTGGTTATGATGTACATTTTTGGGTTGGATCAAAAAGCACTCCAGTAAGTTAATATTAAAGACAAAGAATTATTCGAACATTCATTTTTATTTCTTTTTTATTAATTCATTAACAATTTTTTGTTCTAAAATTTCAACAATTAACTTAAACTACTCCTGGAGTCCTAGTGAGAAGCCGTTACCAGTGGAGTTCAACCAGGTCTGTTGTGAGATATCAACGATGGCGCAACTTCTAGTATTGATTGAAGTTAGACATTAAAACCGTTGGATTCCGGTTCAGTGGTCTAGTTGGTTAAGTGCCTGGCGCGAGACTGATAGATCCTGGGTTCGAATCCCGCAGGGTGCGGGATCGTGGATGCGCACTTCTGAGGAGTCCTGTACTAGGACAAAACGGCTATCTAGTGCTTCCAGGTTTTCCATGATGGTCTAGCTTCAAATGAATCATGATTTCAATCAGTGATCATTCATTAATCATTGAAAAAAAATAAAACCTATTTTTCTATAAATGTGTATTATTTCACTTGTAAAGTTTATTCATATAAAGTGCATATCGTATGACAATACAATAAATATTTATATAGAATTCATAATTAAATGGTATAATTTATTGATTTGTTTTTAGTTGTGTTTTTTAATCGATTAGTAAATGTTAATTGATTATAAGATAGACGTGTAACTGTACTGAAATGTAACTCAACTGATCCGTATCATTGAAATTACTATTTACGAAATATTTTATTTTGTAAATACCTTTTAATGTTCTTAAATATAGACAATTTAGTTATATTCACATTTTTATGAGATTTGGTTCATTTCATCATATACATAAACTAAATAGTATAATTTTGGATTATAATAAGATATTTATTTAACGAAATAAATTAACCCAGTTATAAAGTAGTTTAAAATCATACCTAATTGTTACAAACAGCAATTTAAATTAAGTAAGTATATATTCATTAGAGAAACTAGAAAGTTGAAAGTTATTTATAATATACTTTTATGATCCTGGGTAATTTGACATTGGTTATCAGAAGAGCCAGATAACATCTAGGCTTTCACATGACAACCTAAACAGTACAGATCAATCCCGTTTAACAGAAGAACCAGAACACGTTTAGGCTTTAACGCTACAATCTGAATAGTACAGTCCAATCCTGTGGCACAACCACGTAGGTAATAAACACCCTGGTGGACCATTCGCACTATTCATATACACATTCACGTCACATGTATAATTATTCCGATCAATGATCGCATGAATCAATTATGCAAAGCACGAACAGGCCGAAATTGACCTATTCCGCTTACACGACAGTCAAACTCATTAATGTTAGAAATGGCGACAGGCTTTAAAATGTTCCAATGATAATAGCCCTTGAGAAGACTGAAAAGCAACTACCAGTATGAATGAAATCGGTTAACCAGCAAACCAATTTTGATCATGAACAGTCAGCAAAACTTGCTAAAGTAATACCGAACCATCCACAATATCAATGGCGAACCTCCAGTCTCATATGGGACCTTCAGCTCTACATAGCAATATTATTATTATACTGTATAACCGAAAGTTATTCATTCTTCAACCTCTTCAAAAGTTATGGTGAAAGTAGAATAACTAAAATTTGTCGAATATGATAACAAACAAAGAAATTAACCATTTTTTATTTGCTTGTGTATTGCGTTAAACAGAGATTGTAGTGTGTAAATATAAAAGCTTCTTCTGATCATGGTGAAACTATTATTATTCAGTGATCGATTATCAGAGGTATATGAAAATGAACATATTCTCTTTGTCCTCTAGAATGATATCCTAATCAATAACAATTAAAATACATACATAATAGCTTTCTAGAGTATTTAAAGAATTTTAAGCTCATTTCATAGAAAAAACAAGCTAAGTAATTAATTACAAAATATGAAAAACCTATTTTAAAATAAATAACTAACGGTCAAGTCAGATTATAAACACTTAGTTATCATCAAAAGGGGGGTCTGTGTAGATTTTAGTAACCTAATAGTTGAATTCATGAGTCAGTTGAAACTAGACCACCGTGGAAAACCTGGAAACACTAGACGGCCACTTTGTCCTAGCATGAGACTCCTCTGCAATGCTCATCACATTACTCAGTAATGTGATCCCGCCTCGCGGGATTCGAACGCAGGACTTATCGGTCTTGAGCGCGAAAGCTTAGCCTCTAGACCACTGAGCTGGCATTCAACAGTGTTAAAGTCTAACTTCAAACAATCCACAAAATGGCATCACCGTCCACCATTGTCTTCAATGAGTTACTATCTCACAACAGACCCAGTTGAACTCCACTGGCCACCACTGCTCACTAGAACTTTAGGAAATACCTCTTGAAGTCAGTTACTGGTGAGCAGATGATAATTATTATCAGAATATTTTTATGTTACTTGACTCTAATCTTTATTCTACTATTATATATGGAAACAATCTAAGCATAAACTGAGAATAATTCCAAAGACCAATCATCGATGTATATTCTTCACACTAATTAGAAAGATAATTGTGTATATATAAAAACTAAGTATATATAAACCAATTATCCTGAGTACTGTAGACTTATATTTCCTGTGAATTTAGTTTATCCATTTCCGAGTATGAGTTCAACAAAAATGGTTTCAATTCAGACATTCGGTAGAAAACTATGGCTCTACAAATTGATTACTAACATGATTTTGGAAATAGTTCATCGAAATAAACAGTTTGAGGACTTTAAGAATAAACGGAGACATCAGTCTGTTTTATAACTTCATATCGTATGTTTAAGAACTATTCGTGTTGTATATGAAAGTTTTGAATTTAATTCTGAATAATTTACTCTTTAGCTTGCGAACCGTTTTACCAGTATGGAAGTAAAGGTCTGTTAATATTATTTGAAAGTTTATTTCATAATCCTCTTAGGGGTTTAGTGAAATCCTATATTAGAAAGAGTAACTATCCTTTACTTGTCAGTTTGCAACAGATATCATGGTAGCTAACTCCAAACACTTAAAACTCACAAAATAATGACCGATAAATATCTTACAATGTACCATCAAGTTTTAATTATAAAAGGCTTTTGGATCTTATCCATTTATATACAAATTCAAACCCGTTTCACAGCAAATATACATTTACACGATGTATAATTAATTAGGATTAAATATTTGATCACTAATGAAAATTCCATAAGTTTTTGTTTGCTAATGTCATAACTATAAAAATCCCATTGTATTTAAACAGGAAGAATATACTACAGCTGTTTATAAGACAGTGGAACTCGATGCTGTACTTGATAACCAGGCTGTTCAACATCGTGAAGTTGAACAATATGAATCATGCTTATTTAAATCTTACTTTTCATGTTTCCGGTAAGTTATAGATTCTCATATTTTTGATAATTAAATTTCAAACTTTAGTATTAGACTGGAATAAATTATAGTCGTAGGGTAATGAGTTCCATTAATTTACAAGTTCATGTAATGGAAATAATTGATAGTAGTTAACATATACAATTGTCAACCATTATTAAATTACCTTCATCAAAATATTTTTCTTTGGATTCAATATTAAAGTTTCTAGTAATCATGCTGAACTACTTTTCTTAGTAACATGTATATTTCATACAAAATCTCTTTTATTAGTTTTAAAATTGTTACGGAAAGAAAAAAGAAAGACATTTATTTAGTTGATTATTTTAGTTTATGAACAATCAACAATGTAATTCAGAAATTATGATTCATTCAATTGTGAAGCTGTTTACTGTAAACATAGTTTTTCACATATACGTTTTTTTTAATTTCATATATCAGTCATGAAAAACTATGAGCCCTAGTTTTATAAAACGATTGAAAATTGATTTCGGTGCTAATATAATTTTTCTGAAATCAAAGTGTTGATTCCTTCAGCTGTGGACTTTCAGAATACAACATGAGACAATGTAAGATGGTTGCACAGTATCATGAACTGATTTAAGTTTAAAATATACATTAATGAATTCCGGCTCACTTATCTAGAAGTTCGCATGTAAGACCGAAGGTCATGAGTTAGATTTCTTGTGGTTGGGTAATGGATGCACATTATTGAGAATTTCCATATTAGGATAAAACATATGTTCAGTGCTTCCTAGTTTTCAATAAATCGTTACCATAGATCTGTTTGGTATACTAATAATACTGTAAAATGTGTTGTCTTTTTATAAATGATCTATTCTGTGAAAATATCTGTTGATCAACACCTTGTATGAACCAAAGTAAAACTAATGAAAATTATAATACATAGGTTAATTTCTTTTAGCAATATTTTTATCTACTCACAGTAAAAATGCTTCTCAGTATACTCGTAAAGTCACTATTGATTGATCTGGGTGGTGATCAATTTCATGTATGTCAGATCGAATGCTATAGACCATCTTATACTCGTAAAGTTAATTTTTTTTGTAAAGGGAGCATTTTCCGGGAATTCATTTTTTTCTGGTGATGTTTAAATTACATTTATTATTTTCACTTTAATTAATCCTTTTTTAGTATGATCGCGTTACTGCATTCTCATTATATATATATATATATATATATATATATATATATATATATATATATAATAGATTTTATTAACTTACGTAAACTCTTTAAGTCCTGTAACCCATCTTGTGAGTTTATAAATTCCTGAAATCGTAAGCAAACCTTTAATAACCTCTGAAATCGTTACACAATTTATCTTATCTGTCTCTGAACGTCACTTAATTCCTGCATCACCCACCCCTTATATTTTCGGATTTCAACACCAAATTACCTCCGACCTGGTTCTGTGCATATATATATATATATATATATATATATATATATATATATATATATATATATATATATATATATATATATATATATATATATATAGTTATTCTTGATAAATTTTGTTATCCCAATTCTTTTCATTCCTCTATGCAGATTGTTTTACACTATATCTTACCTCAATGTAAACTTTCAATACATATATGGTTGCAAACAGCTAATGAGAAATCACGAAATATAATGAATTCATATTATTCTGCATCTATGTTTGTTCTGGTATTATTTAAAATTTAATTTGTTAGGTAAAAGTTACGTTGATTTAAAAAAAACAGTGTATCATTGTGAAACAAATGTGATATATAGTGTTGACTAACTATTGAACACCAAAACATGACTGAATAATATATTATCAATTTTCACTTGTATCAAATTATGCTGATCCATCAGAACGAATATCATCTTTCATTTTATATAATTAAATAAATGGTGAATTAAATTCACTTGGTATTGCTTACTTGAACTTTCCCATTGATGTTTAGGACTGCACAAGCGAGTGGCTATCAGGACTCAGTAGTTAAGTGGATAAAGCGATGGCGTTTGAAGTGAACGGTACTTGGTTCGAGTCCCAGAGTGAATATCAACTGTGAGATGCAGGCCCATGCAGCTGGCGAGTCCCGAATAAGACAAAACACGGGTCCTAGATTCCACTGCTAGCCACTATCGATGTTTTCTTAAGATGGTATATTAATGATAAAAATGTATGAACTTGGTATTAGAAAATATTCTCTTTTATTAAAGGAAACATTTCAAAATCTAATCTGTAGATTGAATAAGTTTGTAAATTAGTTATTTCTAGTATTTTCAATCTTTCTAATTACAAAATGGGCTATTTTATTACATCAACCATTCTAATGTGAATCAATATGAAGCTTTGTCTGTCAAAATTGTTAATCTTACTTTTCTGTTCAACCAGTAAGTAACCAACAATCTCATAAGGTGAAATATAAATTTTTGTCACTTTCAAATTGAATTGCTTTTCATCAATGAAAGTGATAACTTAATGTTGGTGAGTTTTTACTAAATAACAATTAGTCAAATCATTATGGAATTAAAATACCCTTTAAGTGTAACATCATGCAAATTATTTAAGCTATAAGTTTATTATTAACGCATTGATTCGTTGTAGCATATTGAACGGTGGCATTGACTCTGGTTTCCGTCGAACAACTCCAAATGAATATCAGCCAAGATTGTTGCATTTCCTTCAAGAGGGCAGAGGACGATTTCAAGTACAGGAGGTGGATCTTTCGATTAATTCATTAGATTCTACTGACGTTTTTATTCTTGATCTTGGTTCAAAACTATATCAGTGGAACGGATCGAAAAGTAATAAGGAGAAGCGTTATAATGTACGTTTTAACCAATTATAAGTAACATCTTGGTAATATACATCTACTTATACGTATTCCTGAAGATCACGGGGTGTTGAGTTCATAACTTATCTGTTCTGTTAAAATGATATATATATGAATTGAAGCAACATGGTATTACGTAACAGTTATATATATATATATATATATATATATATATATATATGCTAGAAGATAGGTATTTAGTTCAACCATTATTATCCCTGGACTGAGGGATCCTAACCATTCCCGAAAATAACTACAAACTTATAGAGGAAAATGTGAAAATACCAAAACAAAAACAATTAATATACTGATTGTATGCAATAATACACACATATGTCGCTTTAAAAAAATTAAAAGTTGTGTGTAAGTGACGACAAACATGGATAAAGTTAAGAAATAAGATAGTTAACACATCAATGAAAGTTCAGTACTATTTCAACCGAGTTATCATTTGTAAAATTATAAAAGATTTCAAATAACACATTTTTGTGAAGTAGAGTTGTGTTTTGTTCCATTCTAACTTCGTAGTTAACATAACACTTACTCTAAACACAAATCAATCAAATAAACTTTGATATTTAACTAAAACATATTATATAGTAATAAGTAATCTAAAGTAATATACAAATAATTTCTATTCACTCGTTTTCATTGTTTTATTTAGGCTGCTCGATTCTTACTACAAGTCAGTAGTGAACGTAATGGACGTTGTAAAACTGCTGTATTAGATGAATTGTTTACAAATAGCGGAGTGAGTTTTTTCTGCTTCATTAGTTTTTACAGTGTCATAAAACAGAACTTTTCAGGTTTCTTTCCTTCACCGGGATTTTTTTACTTAGAACTAGACTGATATACGGTTAAACTAGGTTAAGTTCTGATGAAATTTATACCACAAAAAATTTCATTCTGAAAAGATAATTCTTTAGGAATATTTAAAATGATTACTTTCGCCTAGTAAATGTTTTAAGTATTTGAATCTATTTAAACTACTTATGATACTTAAAAGTAGTATCAAATTATACATAAATTAAAAATTCATATCAAACTATACTAATTGAGCACATAACAATAAAAAATATTTTAAAATTAAAGTGGTTGTTGACTTTATGTCTGGCTTCTTATCACGTAATTTATCTACAAATCAAAATACGGCTTATACAATCTTAGCACTATGCCAAACCAATGACGTTCGACCGGTATGGGCAACCTAGCGTCCTTATTGGTCCTATATCCTCCTAGCCCGTCCATTTGAGTCCAGAACACAAATACCAGCTTCCACTATGCGAATCGAATTATTTATTTCAGACATACTGGGTTTATATATTAAACAAACAGACCGCAACGCACCATAAAATGGGAAATAACATTTGTACACAATAAAGTCAAAAGTGACTGTGAACGTGGGAGACAGTAGTTAATAAACTGAACATAGCTAAAGAACAGTAAAGCGTACAATAATAAATTATAAGTCAAAATAAAGTTTATAATAAGAGGAATATAAATATAAATAATCTAACTATTGAATAGTTATACCATATGAATGTAATACTAGTAATACTAGTCAATTATTATGTCATAGAAAGTTACTCGTGATTTAATCTTCGCTCGGATATAACAGTGATAATAACGACAAATCATATTTTATTAAATAAGACATCTTTTATATTGTTCCATCACTTTCAAAACATATTTTAAATATCTATCCATTTTGAGCATCAATAATTTTTATCGCAGAAAATATTTTACTCATGAACGTTTCATTGTTTCTTGAATGAATTTTTATTCCAGGATGAATTCTTGCATTATTTACCAGATAAACCAGTTTACAGACCTAAAAAGCACTGTGAATCAACAAAATGTATTTACAAGTAAGTTGAATTTTTACCATATTTATGTATTTACATCTTGTTTATACACATAATTCTCTCATTGATTTATCCATTGGAATAATTTTCGAAATAATTTCTTGAAACAGTCGATGATGATCATGAAATGTTTCATGGTTTCTTTATTTCTTGAATTCAATAAAAGTAGTCACTACTAAATTGATGTTTGAATAAAATGAAAACAACCACTGAGGTGCAATAATATGAATTTATTATATTTGTTTTGACTTTACTCGTATTCACAAATGGAACCAGTTGCATGAAATTGATGTTTAGTTATATTTAGGGTATGATAAGTAAATTTATATATCAAGTGATATTCATAGAGTTTATTCAACACGTATAACAAGAAAAGAGATCTAGTGAAATAACCATCGTCTATTATACTTCACTTTCATTTATGATAAGACTTCATTCTACTTTACCGAATTTTCATACATTTAGCAGTGCATAGAATTCCATTTACGTTAACCTCTCATCTCAGTCAAAACAGCAGAAGGCCAAATTAATAATTGTATATCTTTCCTAATTTTAAATCTTGGTCATGAGATTATGTATATGAATTCTACGATAGTTATCTATTAAAATTCAAACGTTCCAGTAAGTTCACATACAGAACTTAGTTGGGTATTTGTGGTAACTAAACTGTCGGTTTGTTCAGAAAGTAAAATGAAGGCGTAGTAAATGAGTCAAAAGAAAGTTTACAATTTAAGTTATGCAAAACTGTCATATTATTATGTCAATGAGTTGAATGGGAGCATAATTTAGATGGCTATTACATCAAACCTAAAGCGTCAATGTTATGCAAAGTTTACTTTTGTATATGATAACAAATAAAAGTGCCTACAACCAACTGGTTTAAATAGGACAGATGTTTAAAGCTTCGTACTTTGAGAGTTCTGATATGTCGTAAGCAAATATTCAGCTACTGAGAACTGATGATAGCTGGTCAGTGAATTCGGAATAATCAAATAATATATCAATGACCCACTAACTTGAGTAGAGTAAACTTCTATGTATAGTTTTAATATAGACAAGTTTTATATTCATTGTTTATGTTTGTAAATTAATTAGTGTCACTTCGACTAGTTCATAGACGTCAAACTAATTTCTCTCAACAAAAGTTTATATGCATGATTTAAGGCTTTAAAATATGTTGTTTATATGGTTCACAATACAGTTTACTTGTCTGCAAAACAAAAAGCCTACTTTCAATTAGTCAATGAAATCTGACGCTCAGAAGTTAAACTGTTTGAACCAAATAATTTAAATATTAAATTTATGTTGTCATTTTGATAGACTAAAGAAAATAGTGTTCATTGGCATTTAAATCTTTAAACTGAGGACATTTTTTTTCAGCAACATGAACCACTGAAAACTATGTCAATACATTTTTCCTTTTTATTGACAGGCTATCTGATGAAGACGGTAATCTATCATTTGATTTAGTTGTGAAAAACCATTTGCCTAAAAGAGCGGTTAATGAAGATGAGGTCTTTCTCATTGATGCAGGATATCATCTCTTTGTTTACATTGGAAGTAAATGTTTACTATGTGAAAAGCAAAATGCTTTATCATATGCACATGTAAGACAATTAGTTTTTGTATTAATTATAATCATGTAAAGTATGAATCTATCAACCTTATTCGTAGTTATAATTTACAAAATTCTATTTTATGAATATAATATTGAACAAGTAACACATAGAATAGAGATAATCTTTGATTATCTATATGCTATTTGTTTTTAAATAACACAATCTTTTTGTTAAAGTCATCTCCAGTTATTTATTATTTTTTATTATGGGAATTCATATTAAGTGTATATTGATTCGATGTTGTATATTTTTAATGAACTGAATTAGATCACACATGAATATGGAAACTATTTAAAGGGACATGAAATAGAATTACATCATACCAATCAGATGGTGGTTGGAAGTAGTCAACAGGAAACTGTGGATTCGGGTTTCATGCTACTTGGCACTCGTCAGCAAGATGTACCAGTAATCTTGAAGGGAACTGGTGCTCCCTGACAGATTCGATCCCATGTCACCCAGCTTCACAGTCAGCGACATTACCATTGAGCTATCCGGGCTGCGAGTGACCGCAACGTGATCGATAGTATTCGATCTACACCGAGGACTTGACACACATAACATTGATCACCACCAAGTGACCAGTCAATTATGATCATACCAATCTTTAAATAAAATCAAGTTAATTTTCATCAAATAATATCATTTGAAAAATAAAGAATGATTGCTTTGACCTTGTGAAAATTATTTCCAAGTTATATTTATGATTCTTTTAGATTACTGAATTCATACTAAAGTCTCATCAAACACTTCTAGTCAATTGATTTCTCATTCTTCTTATTAATGAGTCAGTTGTTACATTAACATTGTATAGCTTAGAGTTAACTTAGGTATTTATAATGAAAGAAAATTACATTGAAACAATATTTTGATGAGATGAATACAGATTATTCATAATTATTCAACTGATAAAGTTCAACATTTTAAAATTCTTTTTTTTTTACTTAATTAAAATGATTAAAACATTGTGCTTCTCTATTTTTTTTTTGTTAAAAAAAACAACAACTAGCATTACTTAAAAAGCACAAAACATCCATTCATTCCAGTCACTGTTATTGGTTCTAATCAAAGTTCAGATGAACTCGAACGAGCATGGGATAGAGATAGAGCTTCAAGTTATCTACAATAAATACAAACAAACAACTATTTATTATATAACTGGATTTGTATGAAATTATTTCTTAATATTATTGATTAAAGCACACATACACACACACATACACACAATAATCCATCATTGCATTATTGTTTTTATTCTTTGTAGTTAACTGAAGTAATATCTATATTTAATGATTACAGTGATTTAGCTGATATTAGCTTAACTTCAAGTTTATATTTAATATCAAACTATATCTTCTTTTGTTTTGTTTTTCATAAATAGTTTATGATCTAGATCATACTTTCTTTTATAAGTTCACGATGATTTTTCTTTTTTTTTCTTTTTTTTCCAATAATATCTATATATGGTCTTTTTAAAAAAAACAAAAACAAAACAAACAAACTCATTTAGATACTATTTTACTGTTCTCTAAAGTATTTAATACAAAAATAGTTTTTGTTTCTTTTTACCATTAGTATAATACAATTTTTTGTTTATGTGTAAATGAATATGTTTGAATTAACATTAGAAAGATATTTAACACTGATTAATACATTATTACATAATAGATGATTAAGTAGTGTTAAATTATAATTCATTTAATTAGCTTTTCTAACAGTTGAAGATTGAATATGATAGAGTGATTCAGATCTATCATAATATATAATTTAAATTAATAAATGTTAATCCATATAATGTATATTGTTTGATTAAAATTTTTAAATTACTTCTTATCCAAAGATGGTTAGTGGTTAGCAATCGAACCCAGGATACATGTTTTGTCCTATTTGGGACTTATCAACTAGATGTATTTGCAAGCAAACAATGACAAGTGAAGTTTTACTTGTTATCTGTTTGATATTTAGATTACTGAAAAAAATGTATTTAGGAAAAAACTGAGGAAAATCTAAACTAGTTCAGCTTACTAATATTCTTTTATTTGTTTGGGTGTTGTTAGTTTTTGTTATAGTGAGTTAAATAAATCAATTTTCATTGTATTCACAGAGAACTCTAAGCATAAACAGTCTGAGAAATAAAATTTGAACTTAAAGGTATATGATAAGAGAGATAAGTCAAGAAATATCTAATTTAAACAACTGTAAAAGATCATGAAGTTTTCTTTAAATAAAACCAATTACGGTGAATTGCAAATCGTAATTTAGATAGACTTCAAATAGACTTTTTGATCAGGTTAAACATCCGAATTCACTAGGAATAAATAATCCAAAACATTATATCATTCTTGAATGTTATACCTAACAGATGTTAGAAATTCCAACCTTATACATCATGAACTGTTAGGTTATGTTACTGAAGGATTTCTGTCAAGCTGATGGTTAGCCTGTTCAAACACTATTCTAATAGAGATCGATCACTTATAGTCTTCAACATTAGCGACAGAAAATTTCCTACTCTTACGTACGATCAATACAATCTCTAATTTTGTTGTTATAAACTGTGTACAATTTAAATGACCGGTGTTTTGATAAAGTGATAGCCTGTCATAAATAGCTTGCACAATTTCAAAAACCGTGTAATGAAAGTTTATTGAGTAGCATCAAAGAATGTTGTCTATGATTGAGATTATGAACCGATTGATGTTAGACTATCATTGAAAATCTGGAAGCACTGGACGGCCGTTTCGTGCTAGTATGGGACTCTTCAGCAGTGCCTATCCACGATACCGCTCGGGGAATTCGAATGTTCTTTAGTATACTATATGGTCATTTTAACACAGATAAATCGAATGATAAAAAGTTTCTTATCTTGGATATTTATGGTAATTTATCATAATATGGTTTTCTTCAAAATAATACAGTGAATTACACATATAAATCAGTAAATACTTTTAGTTAATTAGATTTACAATTTTAAGTTATCTACCGTTATACATTAACAAATTGATATATTATCAGTAAATTGTATTGGAACAAATGAATAATTAACCGAGTTAATTGTACATAAACGAGATCGGATGTTATATTCAGTTGAAATTTGGAGTTGGAACGTTACATCGAATACATTCTTGTTTATGTACAAATTTCTAGTTAAATTGGATATCTGAATCATAGTGAGATCAATGTGTGTTACATAAAACACTAAATTTTACAACCTAATTGACTGTTAGTGACCAACTTCAATCAACAATTGAGTAGTTAAAAATTCACTGTAGTTATATATATTGATATTCTGTAGGTCTACAAATACAAAAATATTTAAATCAATCGATCATTGAATTATGAGTTTATCTAATCTATAACAAGGATTGAATACTATAGATCAATTAGGATACGACTATTAATTTAAGATGGTTGATATCACTTCCACTATACTTGAATACAATCATTTTTAAACTGTTTAGTGTTCAAATATATTCTCTAAACAAAACAAAAAGCCAAAAATAATATTTTCAAGAAAAGAGGTTGGAATGAAAATAATGCTACTGACATATACTACATACAACAGTAATCCTATCAAATACAATCGATTAATAGATTAGTTAATCAAGTCAAATTTAATGCAGTCTAAATAATAAAACCATTGACCAAAAGTTGTTTACAAATCTACATCCTGATGGTCATTCATAATATCATGGCTTAATATTGAAATTTGAAAAATAATTCACAATTTCTTTGCTCCACAAGATTCGAGTCTAGGATCTATTTGTCCCGTGAACGGTGGCGCAATTTTGTGGATTGGTTGAAAATTTATATATTAACACCGTTGGATGCCAGCTCAGTCGTCTAGAGGTTAAGGGTTCGCGCGCGAGACCGTTAGGTCCTGGGTTCAAATCTTGAGAACATGATCATGGATGTGCACTGCTGACGAATTCTATACTAAGACGAAACGACCATCTAGTGCTCACAGGTTTTCTATGGTACTCTATCTATCTATCTATCTATCCATATAAGTCAAGTATATATTTTAGTTTATTTTAAATGAATCAACCGAATAAATTTTATTGGAATCAACAATCTTTTTTTATTATTCAATATAAAATAATATTAGAGATTACAATCGTACGTTTTATAATTAATGAATAATAATATCAACGTATTTCTAATTAGTATTGGAATGTTTATAATGATTATAATTTCTAAAAGAATCTTGTTTATTTTATTATTTTGTTTTAATTATTCTATATTAAAATAATAAATAAATTAGTGAATTTTATGTAAAATAAACACGTTTTCTTTTATTCACATATTGTGTGTTTTTTTAAAAAAAAAATAAAATTAACTCTCATTGTTTCTTATAGTTTGTTGTGTTGCTATGTAGTAATAAATTTATTCCATCGTATCACCCTTTTTTTTGAAAAAAAGAAGAAAAATCCTAAAAATGTCGGTAAAATGTGTAGTTAGTTGCCAAGGTCCACTATCTTATTGTTTGTTAAACAATATTAATCATTAAATTTTATGATAAAGTGAAAAATGTATAAAATTATAGAAAATCATGTGTTTAATCACCTTGTATATATATATATATATATATATATATATATATATATATATATATATATATATATATATATATATATATATATATATATAGACGGTTTAGCTAAGTGATTCATATACATAAGGTTATACATTGATTTATTTTGATAATTGATAATTGATTTCGTCAATTTGTCATTATTATAAATTGTATTACAAATTGATTGTAGTTAGACAACTAAGAAACACTTGATAGCCATTTCGTCTTAGTATAGGACTACTATGCAGATCATGCGGATCAACGACTTCATCGAGATGAGAGAGAATGCTTGACATTTAAGCTACTGAGCTGCGATCTAGTGGTATCGTTCTGGTATATACTCCATTATTTATCAGAAGATTAAAATATCTAAAGACCTATAAGTCTATAATTTCTTTGTTCATTCTTTTATGTTTGCTAAATATAAATGGGTTAGACGTTTTAACGTGAATTTAATAGGAGAGATTCCTGAAAACTACTTTAAAAAGTAATGTAATTCTTAGCAACATCATTAGATTTTTTGAAATCAGCTAGAAGGATTAATTTTGTTATTTCCGTTGCCATTTTATTGGCCGAGTTGACTGAAAAGAGTTCTTTAAACTAGTAGTTCATTTAAGGTTACATGTATCTGTTGCATGTATCTGTATCACGGAGTCGATTTTTAGTTCTGAACTTAAGCCCAAAACCGTTCACTCCAACCGCCATCATGTAATGAAATTAACTACTGAGTCAAGAAAGATATTGGTTTGTGCAACGGAGTGAATTTTAATTTATATGTATTGATTATTTGAATCTTAGAACTAATGCTTAGGACTATAATTGATCAATTTTCTTTCGCTTATGTGAACGTTGTGAGAATTGCCTCAATATAACCATTAAGTCACAAAACGTTTTAAGCAGAGATGGATGGTCCCCAGCAGTGGGTCCGGAACAAATATTTCATCCAGTTTGTTTATCAATAAAAAAATGATTCCTCATTGAGTGAAGTTTTTTATATAAAGCCATATCATTAAGAAATTATTTATTTATGTAGACACATAAATATTGGTACAAAAAGGCATCAAATACATATGCGCCACACATTAGTTGCTTTGTGTGTGGGCTATGATACTGCTCAGGTGGCTAGACCGAAGCGGGTAGTTTTCTTAGGAGGCCATACCCGAAGGGTTCGACCCAAAAGTCTGGTCCAGAAGGCAGTGAAGCAACGTTAGGAGATGAAGTCCCGTGGTAGCCGGTGGCCAACACCATACACCATTTGTTCATTCAGGATACTAGAGCCTATGTGTACAATTGGTTCTAGAAATCAGGGTTTTCCAACTACCCTAGGTGGACATTCCATATCCACCAATCCAGTTAAAGCGCCAGACATCCGCTTTTCATCCCCCAATTTCGTAAACAACAACCCCGCCACGAGACGTCAGTGAATAAGGCTTGCCTGTCAGTGGCTGTTTACGCATGGCCATGTGAGAGCGTTTCGATAGGGAAGGTGGACTCTCCCCGACCTTGTCCGTACCATCTTAACTTTGGTCTGATGCTTTGTACTGAACTTCTCCAGTATTAGGATCTAATAAGTGGGGTGTATTTTATGTCAAACAATACATAGAAATTCAGTCGTATAATTAACGACATAAAAAATTGTACTAAGTAATAAAAATAAAATTGCGATGTAAATCAATTGTATCTTAGATATTTTACAACTTATTTCGTTTAACTACGTATCAACAAAATCACTGGACAACGTTTGGCTCATAACAATAGTTTCTCTTACATTTTGTTGTTATTCTTAGTGGTATGACAGACAACCAACCATTCAGATGTATTCAATTTTTAGACCTATTGATTACAGTATTCACGATATATATATATATATATATATATATATATATATATATATATATATATATATATATATATTTGAGTACAGATGGTTATTGTAATAAATATCTTTGTCTAATTAGTGTGGTGATAAAATTATAACTGACTGCTTTATTTCAATGGAGGAATATAATTGGAAAGATACTAATATGGCCTTATTCGGTTCCGATGAAGAAAGGTCTATCAAAAGTAAATATGTAATTCAGTAATAGCTTAATTTTTTTAAAAATAAATTATTATAATGTGAAATACGTATGTCATTAAGTAAATGACAATTATGTAAATAAAGTCAAAATGGAAAACATCAATCAAGTAGTTAATTATCTAAACTCAATTTTCGTACAAAACATAAGTTCATGTAGAATTGTAGATCTTTATTATGCATGACAGTCCAAAGTAGAACAGTTACCGTTGAAATAATTATAGTCAGAATGCTTTAAGTTCCTATATTGTTACTCTTTACATATAACAGTAATATGAATTGATTTAACTCAATTATATTTTAGATGCTTAAGCGTTTGTTAATTCAAATAATTCTGTGATGATCATATCATTAAAATAACCCGTAGTGTCATTAAATAAGAAAAATAGAATTCAGCCAAGAAAATTTTTTTCTCTTTTCGACGAAATCACTTACTTGAGCTATTCATTCATATATATAGTTCTATGGAAAATATATGTGGACAGAAGGATAGAAAAGATTACATCCTTACCCCTTGATTACTACTTAACCTCAATTGAGATTTCGTCACGTATCCATTTATAATTAGACCTTTTCTATCCTTTTATAGACATATATTTTCCATATAACTAGATATGTGAATTTACAGCTTAATTAAGTGATTTCGTCGGAAAGAGAAAAAAAACTTTTCTTTGCTAAATTCTCTTTTTCTTATTTAATGAGATGATCATATAAAAAAGATTATATTTTTGAAAGTTTAATTATTGTTCTAATATTGTTTTCTGTTGAATTTGTCTAACAAGTTAATATGTTCTGTAGTTCTAAGATATAATATGTTCATTCGAAGAAAGGATTCAACTATTACCTTCTAGGTTTTCCATGGTAGTCTAGCTTCAATTGATTCATGATCTCAATTATTGATATTAATTTAAGTGTAAGCAACTTCGTGGATTGGTTGAAGTTAGACATCAACACCGTTGGATACCGGATCAGTGGTCTAGTGGTTAAGTGCTCGAGCGCGAAACCAGTAGTTCCCAGGTTCGCATCCCGCGGGGTGCGGGATCGTGGGCGCGCACTGCTGAGGAGTCCCATACTAGGACGAAACTGCCGTCCAGTGCTTCCAGGTTTTTCATGGTGGTCTAGATTCAATTTACTAATGATTTCAACCTGCGAAATTTCTTATTTGCCTTGTATATTTAAAAATGTATATTTTAAAACTTTTGAAAACAAATATTAATTTATCTATAATGGTGTGAATGTAATTTTACATTTATGCATATGAACTATTTTATCAACATTCATTTATCACCATCCTACTGACTTTAATGAATCTGTCTTATAAAATACTACTTTAAGTATTTTCAGTAAATACTAGGATGAAACGATTGTTCAGTGTTTCCAGGTTTCATATAGTTGTCTAGCCTCAATTGACTCATAAATTCAATTATTAAATTACTACCATCTTCACAAAACCCCTCTCTATTAAAAATGTGTGTTTTAAATAAATCGTTTATTGTTTTGTTTATTTTTTTTAATTTAGAGGAAGCTGCTAAAACTGAAAAAGCATGGCAACAAATAAAATCTATTAGAAAGTCAACACTTTTGGTTTGGAGAATAAACGTTAGTTTAAATTAGATTTTTTTTTTAATTTCTAAACTAATTATATACAGATCTAAGGATTGTAATAAACATCTACAATTATTAATGCCAGAAACTGAATGTTAAGACATAATATCAGGTTTAACAGAGATTTTATTTTACTAAAGTTAAACAGTCCAGGTGTAAGTGTTCACTGAAAATACTTAAAGTAGTATTTTACATGACAATATCATTGGAGTCAGTGGGATGGTGATAAAATTGTAATCAACATAAATGTTGATGATTACGACGAAAAAGACAAGCATAAAAGATTAAAAGTGGTAGTGATACAGTGAAAATTATCGAATAACTGTAAAGTAAACATCCTGTAGATACTAAACAATGAAAAGGTTTACTACTATCGATTCTCATTACATACAAGATATCAAGTCGAAACTGACATTACATAAATTTTATGAATGTTTGAGATCTCGATAGACTCTATACTTTCCCTACGGAACCTTAATATGAGTAATTGTATGCATGTATGTAACACGATAAAGTGCACAACTTCCGAGGTTCATATTTTGTAAATTTTCATTCTCATTGACTCAGAGCAGCTTTGTAAACACAGATGGATAGTGTCAAGAAGTGAAATGTGAGTTTCGTCTTATTTAGGGCTCATCGTCTAGATCTATCTGCATTTTAGGGTTGACGTTCCCTCTGAGAGCAGCTTTTCTCGAAAATGCTTGTAAATCAACGAAAAAGATCTACTATCACCACATTCCTGTTTAAACAGTAGTACTAGACGGCTGTAATACATACAATACATAGTTTGATTAGTTTCTATTGAACAAAAATAAACATCCCAACAGAAATCGCCGTCATGATTTGGAATAAGAGAACACGAGTCTACTTACTATCAATCAAGTCATCATTATGATCAAGACTAAACACCATATCAACGTTGCAATCATAGTAAACAAAATTTAAGTCCAGAGTTCTCTTGACTTAACCTAAACAGGTAAAATGGCTTTTCATCAGCATATCTTATAATATATAGCTAGTTCAACTTCTCATCCAAACATTAGAACTTATAAGCTAAACATGTTAGTTGAAACTTGCCAAATCTACATCCATACACATAGAATAAATTCAAATGAACTTCATTTATTGACAGCTGGAAATATTAATCAGGATTCCACTCTTGTTACGATCAACACCTAAATGTACTTCATTCACATCGAAACTCCCAATCTAATTATCTTTCTTTAAAATTTAAAGCCATTACTTTTATATAACCCATATATAACAAGGAAACAACATAAAAATGAAACTAATACCATTATTAGACATTGTATACTATCATCCTGAAATCATTGAATTCCGTTTCTTAGTATAACTTCGTTCAAGATTTTATATATTAAGTGGATACAATGAAAGAAATGTAATGTATCATTACCTCTTTTACTAAACGTAGAATGTTTAAATTAAGATAGTAATAATTTTACTTGATATTTTAACTAAAATAATTAAAAGGATATGTAAATCAATTTCATAATTATTGCATAAAAACAACATTTAAGATTACGTCAACTAGGGAAATTAACAACTTATTACTATTCAACTTTAACTTATATTGTCTATCACTGAGATATTCATGACACTTAGTGAATTATTCTTGAAAACAAATTATACAATATTCATTTATTTCTATTATATTAATAGAAATTTAATCTAGAAGTCGTAAAATTAGAAGATATTGGGACGTTTTATTCTGGAGATTCATATATTGTCTTGAATATAGAGAAAGTTGGTGATGATTATAATTATGATGTTCATTTCTGGATAGGAAAGAAAAGTACTCAAGTGAGTAAAATTACAAAGGAAATATAGATATTATTGTATTATTTTTATAATATTTAGTCAAGATGAAACTAATCACTGTCATATACAACACATATTCAACTGGTCATCAACTTGATGAATTAAAATGTTTCGGAAAATTTTAGTTTCATTAATTATATATAGCCTCATTAAGTTAATCTTAAGAATTGATGAAATATTAGAATTACCTTCTTACATCAATTTATAAAAGATAAATAGAATATTACAGTCTATACAGTGACATAAATGTGGCTAGACCATATGATGATCAATACATTATTTATTAGAGCTGAAATTTCTAATGAATATTCCAATTATCCAATGAAACATCATTAAGTTTGTTTGTCTTAAAGTACATTAAAATCAGATTTAAAACATTTTTGACTATGAGAGTTTCATAGCAAAACAACGGTTGATCTTATCCTTCCTCAAGTATAACTGTTATTATAACAAACTCAAGGTAATTTCTTTACTCCTTAAACAGTTTACAAATGAATAATTCAAAGCTAGAAACAATTTAGGGGTAACATTTTGGAATTCTAAAATAATTGATACTAGATGAAATCTGTCAATGAGTTCATTTTGTTGACATGTTTTGAGTATGATTAACAAGCAGCTGAAAGCCTCTGATATAACGCTTCTTATAGATTGCGTTGAATGAAAAAAAATTGTATCTTTTTCAGATCTTTATTTCAAAATAGAAGTTAAACAAATATCCGTTTATAGTACAAAGCTATGAGAGTCTAACTATCATTTAATTCTAAATAAATATTCTTCATCTCATCAATTATCTAGTACAAACTGAAAATTAAAATATAAATGTTCGTAACCCAAGAAGCAAGCATTATCATAGGAATTTCAATTACATATAACATATCTACAAATTTTTTAAGTAGTTCAATTGAAATACTTCGTATATTATTAGTAGTTAGTATCAATGTTCATTGAACTCTAATGGAAGTTAGTAGTATGATATAACTTATATATAAATAGATGACACTACACATGTTAATTTGTATTGCTTATTAGCGAAATTGATGTAAGCTGAACGAAGATTTACTGCTTCGACAAACTGGACAATATGTCTTCATTTATAAACTTACATTGATTTAAATAAAATGTTAATATTGTTGATTCACCTGAAATTTGATCAATTAAATAAAAAGATTGATGATAGCTGTGATCATCATTTATTATTTATCACTAACAATGAGAATTGCATATTTGCACAGGCAAATACATTATTGCGTAATCTCATTTAAGATCTGAAATGATGATAAATAGTAATCAAATACAAGTAATAAATTTAATAGTACCATAACGAACACTGTAATCTATATGCGATTTAAAGTTGGCAGTTATTAGTCATTATCAATTGTGTAATGGCTTACTTCATTTCAAAAGTTTAGTTCTAATTATCAACGTATTTTGGCATTATAAAATCTTCCACTGCAAATACTATTTAACTAGTTTCGAAAATAAATAGAAAAATTAATAAGCCAACGTTTACTATCATACTGTCTGATAAGAAATCTAGAAAACTGGATATCCCTACATTTTTGAACTGGAAAATCTAAAACAAAACTAACAAACATCATCTTGCTTGGTATTTAAAGTAGATTTCTTACATTCAGATCGAAATACCATGGCATTTAATCTCAATAATGGATATATCTATGTTATTTTATTTCTAGCTTCATTTTTTAACTTGATTAGATTTATTATTATCCCATTTATACAATCTCTTAAGTCAACAGAATAACAGATTATATATCCTTAGGAAATTGGTAGTATATAGATTGAAGATCATTTTATCTTTCTTTTCTGAGACAACATGGGTTTACCATATTACGTGTTGGTTAAAAACACAAATCTAGAAATGATTTGACTTTCTGAAACATCTTCTTTAAAGACTGTTTAACTTACTTTTCATTATCATGATGACAATGTGAACAGGTATTTCTTTATTTGGTAAAGATTTATGAAAAAGATTCATTATGCAATAATACTGTTTTGATAATTTATACTGTCATCTTAGGGTAGCAACTAATGATGGGAATAAGTAAAATAATATACATACACATACACTGCAGATTATTAGCCAGACTAGCTATTACCAATACGATTTCAATTTTAATTTCATAATAATTAGCATAACAAGTAAATCTAGTTAATTATTCATTTCCATTACTAAGGTAACCGACATTTTTAGTTGGTTTAAAAATAGCTACTTTATGTATGAATGAATCCTACACACACGTGGACATAGGTAAGGATGGGGAATAGTCAGTTTATTTCACTTAATAAAACTATTGCAGTGATTATCTACATTTTCTGTAATATACTATAAAATTCATTATTGTTTCCATTACTCCCCATTAATTGATAAGGATGAATATGTAACTGCGGCTTACAAAACTGTAGAGTTGGATACATTTTTAGACGACAAAGCTATTCAACATCGTGAAGTCGATGGATTGGAGTCAAAACAGTTTAAAAAGTATTTTAAAAAGTTTAGGTGAGTCATGAAAACTGTCTTGCGTTTGTAATTCTTTTTTGTTAATCACTAAAATTTCCATTAAATTATGTAAAATTCCAAAAAGAAAGCAGTATAATATTAAACGAATGTCACTGTTTACCAGTTGAGAAATAGTTTCCTACTAAATGTAATTCTTGAACAGTGATGCAATAACTTGTTAACTTATCAACTGTTTAAATGTAGTTGTATTTAATTAGATTAGCAACACTTGCACATTCACTAATAAAAATGGTTTAACGATACACCATGAATGGTCGCGTTAAAATAACCATGGAGTTGAATAAATAATTGAATGAATTAATAAAATTCATTCACATATATATTGGAAAGCAAATGATTTACTGAACAGCCAAGCAACTAACATTTAAGCTAACGTGAAGGATATGTGCACAGGCTATCACATATGATCAAACAAATACGCTCACACAGACATGATAATAATACTAAGATGTAAGAATTTTCGCCGTTCGAATGACATTGTCTGTTAAATAAGCTAATTGATGTTCTAACAAAATAAAACGTAAACACACTTTAGTGTATGAGGAATGCCATACAAATACGTTTGTCAGTAACAAACTGGGATAAGTGTACAACGGTCATATTACTGCACTAAATCATCACAAGTTAATGAAATTATTTATAGACATAACATACTAATCAAACTATCGGTAGTTTTGATCACCGTGAAAAAACCGAACACCGATTACGTTATTTTAAACATATAATAATTTTGGAAATAAAAGGAAAAAAGTAATATTAAAACTCCATCACATGAAATAATATTGGATCGCTGAACTAAGTACTGGTTTTTCAAATGTATTTATTAAAATGACTCTTTTGTATCAAAAGGATAATTCTTATTGTTCTCATAATGAATACTAACTCAAAATTAAGTCTATGAACTACACAATGTCTTTCATCATATATATTCGATACTTGAACATCGAAAAATGTTAATATCCGTTTTTCCTCCATACTCAATTCACTGAATTTTAATTTAGATACCAACCCACATAAAAACATACGAAGGTCAACTCTGCCTTAGAATCGATTATTTCTATTACATAAATTCTTTATTTTTCTAAACTATATTTTCATTCATTTATTCTCTGTATACGACATTGCATTGTTACTAATAACAACTCAAGTTGTGAGAATAATCTTGAATTTTCTGTTCATACTCAAAATAAGCAACTTTAATATGGAGTTAATAAGTTTAGAAAAATTATCTGAAAACCAAAAAGTAAACTAAAGAATAACAACATTAAAGAGAAGGAATGTATTTGTAAAATCTCAGCGAAAGAATTTGAAGTAAATCCAACGTTTCGCTTGGCAATCTAGTCCAAGCTTATTCGATCATTTTGATGTTTGATTATATTTCTTTGAAAAAGCTTGGACCAGATTGCCAAGCAAAGCGTTGGATATACTTCAAATTCCTTTGCTGTGATCTTACAAATACATTCTTTCTCTTTAATGTTTCTCATTAACTTGGCGCCCAAATACTGTGAAATTATTCGATCAAATTTAAACGAAACTTTTTATATTTTAGTCTTTGTAACTAAATAATAAAACATATCGTTTGTACAATTGTCTTTTTTAAGCCTCTTGTAAATGTGTACAATATCATTCTTAGATAACATCTTGTAAAAGAAGAAAACAAAATATTCTATTATGGAATTTTTTTAAAAATCTAATTCAGCAAACTTTCTTTGAGAATAAATACCAAAGTTACATCCAGTACATCATAAAATCAATCAAAATGTGCATATTATCTTTAATATATTATGTAACATGATTTTATTACTGAATTCAATAGAGATAAGAAATAGAATACGATAAGTAACATGTTATATTTAGTGTATATATATATATATGAGAATAGCTAATTGTTTATGTAATGTTATATTTTTTTAACATGTAAGAAAGGATTGAATTTATTATGAGAATTGTTAGGTGATTTTTGTGAATATTGAATGCAATGTTTACCATAAATCAATTAATCATATACTAGAAAGTAATGAACGTTAATACGTGTCTGAAACCCATTCAAGGCACTAACCCAAAATGAAATAAGAAATAAAGTTCATGATTTTCAGATCTCATGGACAATATTGATAGCTCTAGATTACTGAGTTGGATTTCAGTGGATCTCATACTAAATTCTAGTCAATTTTTTTTGTATAGAATGACTTTTTTCTTCCCATTTTTTCAACGCTTGACAGATATCCAATGGTTTATAATTGAAGATTCTTGATCTGATTATCTAATTAGTGAGAACTGCCTGTGTAGGACTGTGTAGCTATTCAATTCCTCCCTAGTTTACAGTGGTCCTCTAGACGAAGTCATTTAGTCACCAAAACCACTTTCAAGTATTTAGGAATCTCTTATTTGGTAATCATAATTGCAACAAAATATGAGTTTAACATTGTTTTTCATTTCAGTTAACTATTTTGTATAAATGTATTTTCTTTGAAATCACAAACTTAACCATTATTCATACAGTATACTGATCGTTTAGTTCAATAAATTTTAACTGGAACTCTCTAATTTTCATCATTCGTTAGTATATTCCTTAATAATCGCACAGTCTCTTTTCATGTAAGAAATATAACTACATAATTAACATTTGTATTTTTTATATTTATCATTATATTGAAACGTTTTAGAACACTTGAAGGTGGTTATGATAGTGGATTTAATCATACAAAACCAAATGAATTTAAAACAAGACTTATGCACTTTCGAGATATTGATTGTTTACATGTTGAATTACGTGAAGTACCTTATTCTAGAAATTCTTTAGTTTCGGAAGATGTTTTCATATTGGATTTAGGATCATTAGCTTATCAATGGATTGGTAGTAAATCAGGCAAATATGAACGATTTAAAGTAAGTTAATGTTCATTCAAATTAAAAAAAAATTTCAGCTATAAATGTGTTTTATTTGGGAAGTGTTTATATTAAATGAAATTCTTGAATGTTTTATTAACTTAATTATTACAGAATTTTCAATTAGGATATTACATCCCTTTCTACTGATATATTCAAAAGAATGTTCTTTATTACATTTTCATATGTTTAGTTCTCATAAATGAATTTAAAATAAAATTTCCTTGTAACCAGTCCGTACTCGTAAATAAATTAAAAATACCCAATTATGGAGTAATGACTTTGAAATTTGGCTATTATTAGAAGAACTAAAGGTAAAGCGTTTCATATTTTGAATAAAAGACGTAGTTGCTAACTCGAAATCAGGTTAATGACTTTTTGTGTACCTGTTTAACACAAGATTCGAACTATCTACGTTTATTCCCATTCTTATATATATATATATATATCCATTCATTCATTTGTATAAACAGCGTTTTGGTATTTTAACTGATATCAGTTCGTGATGAAAACCATAAATCTAATTCCTTACCCCAACAGTCAACCGTAAATCATAATCCTTATTCTTTATACTGCTTTATAACCGTCATTTCGCGCTAGTAAGTGGAAATTCTCAAGATCACTGAGCCGTCGCTCAAAAGTCATCCGTATATTATGGTCTCACCGAATTAGTTTCTTAGTCCTATTACAAAACAACGGTCTAGTTCTTTTTTGATGGTCTTCTTATTGGTGTTGTTAGCTGAAAAAATTTATTGATCTTCACAAACCACTATACTGGTATTGTGGTGTGTGCTAATGATGTCGACAGATCTAAGTAGTATATACCATCAATCGAAAATCAAATGCCTGGCGATAGAATGTTAAGAAGATCAAAGAAAAGAGGACGACAACGGAGAGTGATTGATGTGAAAATTAAAAAACAGTGAAGTTTCAAACGATCGATTAACATCTTGCAAATGAAGTATTTATTGTATTGTTCACAGATTTTACGAAGAGATTCTGTAATTTAGTGTTCAGATATATTCGGTTGTCTCCACTTATGTGTTCTAATCCACCACAGAATTAGTTTCCTATTCCAGCTTAAGTATTAAAAATCAATCGTGACATGTAGATGCCTCCATTTAAGCTAATTTAAATGACGCTTTTACAATCATAATCATTGTATTATCATAAAATTGATTCATATTATAATGTTAATTCTGGTTAGCGTTTTTTTAGCGAGTTAGTTTTTACGGGATGGGGTTGCTAACCCCATACTCAACCCTCCTCCTTTATCCGGGCTTGGGACTGGCAGTGGCCTAAAAGGTTCCCAGGCGGAGTTAAACAGCTAGAATGCAGCTGGACGATCTAGACTTTGCAGATGATCTGACTCTTCTATCGCACACGCAACAACAAATGCAGGAGAAGGCGACCAGTGTAGCAGCAGCCTCAACAGCAGTAGGTCTCAATATACACAAAGGGAAATGCAAGATTCTTCGATACAAAACAACATGCGCCAATCGAATCACACTTGATGGAAAAGATTTCGAAGATGTAAAAACCTTTACATATCTGGACAGCATCATTGATGAACACGGTGGATCTGATGCAGATGTGAAGGGGCAGGTCGGCAAAGCAAGAGCAACATATTTACAACTAAAGAACATCTGGAACTCAAAGCAACTGTCAGCCAACAGCAAAGTCAGAATCTTTAATACAAATGTCAAGACAGTTCTACTGTACAGGGGGGTGGAAACTTGGAGAATTACAAAAGCAATCATTCACAAGATACAAGTGTTTATTAACGGTTGTCTAGGCAAAATACTTCGGATCCGTTGGCCAGACACTAATAGCGACAATCTACTGTGTGAGAACACAAACCAGATGCAAGTGGAAGAAGAAATCAGGGCGAGCTTGAAGTGGATATGACACACAGTGAAGAAAGCACCCAACTGCATCACAAGGCAAGTCCTCGCTTGGAATCCTCAAGGTCAAGGGAGGAGAGGAAGACCAAAGAACACATTACGCCGAGAAATGGAGACAGACATGAGAAGATAGAGCAACAATTGAATAGGACTAGAAAGGAATGCCCAGGACAGTGGGTTGTAGAATGCTAGTTGGTGGCCTATGCTCCATTGGGGGTAACAGGAGTAAATAAGTAAGTAGGTAAGTAAGTACGATGTGATTTATTTTACACGACTTATCAACAACAAAATAAAACCAAACGAAACCGATAGTGATGGAAAGATGAAAACTTGAATGAAAGTGTATGTTAATTATGTACAATATTTTCATTTCATTTCGAACATTTTTAACAAAAAATTCTTATTCGAAAAGTATTTAAATCCTTTTAAAATGTCCCTTTTTATTATTTTTACCTATTTATCTATAGAGTGCAGAATATTTATTAAAACTTAAAAGTGAACGTAATGGAAGGTGTAAAATTCAAGTATTAGAAGAAAATGAAAATTCGCATGAATTAGTTAGTGTGCTTTATTATGAATATTTTATGTTCTATTCTCATCTATAATCTTCATTAAATTATTAATCTAATATATTGGCAGGATCAACATAAAGGTTCATTATTATTTATTATATAAATGTAAATCATGTTCGATGAAATTTCACATACTCTACTTTCTATCTATTATAGACTGATTAAAAGTACTTATAATAAGTCTAAAAACTTAAAGAACTGCTATACAACTCAGTTGAAAATCTATTTTTCTAGTACTTGGGTACTAGATATGCATAGTAAGATGACTAAAGATCGTAGACAACTGAACTAGTCTAGACAGGGACATGTAGTCGATGACATTTGCTCACAGCCGCCCACACATACATCTCTCTGCCATCTATGGCCTTGAAAATTAGCATATGATCCATGCGCATTACCGGTGTAGTAGATGAAATTTTTTAAATGAAATCACATTATCTTCTTGGTTGTTTGCTTATAAAATACTTCATTAGTCACTAAACATTCTGAACGTGTAAATGGGTTTGGAAATACAGATAAGATTTCTTGAAAACATTTACAATCTATCAATTTTGGTAGAACCTTAAATTATTCACTAGAATGTTTACATCATTTAGAAATTTGTTTATTTACATATTCACTATTCACTGGTCTTTTTTTCACGGATATTAATGGCCTCATTTTAAGTTTACTTACACTGAACTCTTCCTTTTATCTATTTAACTTTAAGAAAGAATTTTTAGCCAAGCTGCCGAATACCGAAATTACTGCACCTTCTAAAAATAACAGCGGAATGAAGGCAGTTCATCGGTAAGTTATTCAGCTTACTGTGAACGGATCATTTTCGAATATTTTAATACGTTGTTGTCATTTTTATTAGGGCTATGATGTTAAACCTTTTTGAATGAATATATTAGATTCCAATGAAGAATGAATGCAGCTACTTCACACCGTCTTTAATATATTTAGGGTATCCACTATAATACTACCTGGATGATAATATGCTATGAGAAACTAACATAATTGTGTTGTAGAGGCAATGGTGTGTCACATTTACTGCCAAGAGCTGACTAGTAGGAAGAAAGTATTGTGTGAGTGAACTAGTTGGTATATTTTGCGTTTACCTTCAGAAACAATGAAGGAATAAAACTAAAAACTAAAGATTCTCTGAAATCTAACAGGAAAATACCTTAAAAGAGCTGATTGGCACTATATGTACGGAAACAGTCTGTTACTTAGCCTCATTACAATTAACTTACCTAGAGCTCCACAGTGCTAATACCTTAGGCCAAATGATAAAAAGTTAAAATGAAGTATTTTCTTCAGAGTCAGAATTTAACTAAATATAGATCAGTGAGTAAAATGAAAGTGACTAAGTAGTTATATCTATCTAGAATACCTAAACAAGTCACTGACTACTCAAAAAGTTCAAAGGGGACACGGCTGCTAAGACACTGACTAACTAAATCTTTGAGAAAGACTTTTTATTCGGTGAAGCTTCCAACTGTTTCTTTTGTAAGAACTTCACTTAAGGAACTGTCGGGGATAATATACTACTTTAGGTTACTGTATAGCTCAAGAAAATGATATATTTGGAAAACGTTTTCTTCTTTGAAAAGTCTTCATTCTTACACATGAATCGATAGATTACTATCGCTGTTCTAAAATACATTTTTTTCGAAAAACCACCCAAACTTATAGATTACTTCCTGCAACCTTCAATCAAGCTGAAATTGACTGGAACGAAATTATTAATTAACTTTCACATAGTCATGTCGATTTCAGTTTCAAAACCGAAACTTGCAAATGCTAAATACTACTTGGGGATTTTCAAACATGATATGCCTCAATCAAGCTCATCCACTTGAAGCTGTTTACTTGAATTTTTCTTTAATGCATTACATAATATTTTCGTATTGTTATTATGGCTACTTGTAAGTAGCTAACGTTAGTCTGGAAATTTTCATCAGATGTATTTTTTTTCTAAGTTTATGACACAACTTTTGTTTGCCTAGTTTCAAAAGAATGTAAGTGACTAAATATTAAGTCTTCACGTTTGTTTTCATCAGTTAAGTAACTGTGGAAGATATGGAAAATATTATAATTGTAGTACCTTAATACGAAATATAATCAGAATTTTCGGATTGTATTAAAATCTTATGTCACTGACGGCTGAATTAAAAGCTGATCATATCTACAGTTGCAAGGCTTACTGTAATTAGAGTAGATTTCCATCCTCGCTGTCACAATATATTGTTTACATAAATATATCATGGCTCACAAACTAATGAAGCAAAGTTTATAGCTAACTATCTTTATACCAAGCGGTAGCATAAGCTTCTTCACATGCAGAATAATTAGGAATTTCAAGTGAATATGAGAAGCACATCTTTTAATAGTTTAATCGTTTAATGCAGTCAGATCTTGTTCATTTGTATCGATTGATCTGCAATTACAGAATGTTTATTATGCTTCCTTAAACCCTTATGAAATCTTTACAAAGGTAATAACAATATATCCAACCTTCTTCACTTAAACGACATATAACAACTTATTAAATGTAAGCAATGTATGTAAATGTTTGAAAAGCTGTTTCGGAGTTATTTTTATTTTTGTTTATCTGCTAAACTTAGGATAAAACTATCATAAATTTTTATTTTTTATCATAAAAGCCTTTCAGATGAGGATGGGGAAATGAAATTATCTTTGGTATGTAAAGAGGTACTGCCACGATCTGTGATTACACAAGATGATGTGTACTTCATTGACAATGGATCTCATTTATACGTCTATATTGGAGACCAATGTTCAACCCAGGAAAAACGAAATGCTCTATCAAATGCTCATGTAAGAGTTAATTTTACTATGGAATAAATGTTATTCAATGTTGAAAGTATAAAAGCTTACTGGATATCACATAGTACAGTAATATTGATTATATTTGAGCAAAGAGTTACTTAATAAAAATAAACTAATCTAAGCTCTAATTTGCAAATTAAAATTAAGTACACAAAATTTCAAAACAAACTTATATAGTTCAAGAAATTGAACAGAAGCATCCAAGCTTTAAGGAAAAAGATGAAACTTAATTTATCTTTACACTTTTAGTAGGTTGAAAGTTGAGAATTTATAATACAATAAATGATGACTGTTTCATTTAATACTGTTCATTATAATCTTATGTATGTATAGTAAACAACATTTTATGATAAAATAAGAGACAGCATATTTATGCTTATATAATTGATAACTTCTGAAAGCTGGTTAGTAAGCTATCAATGAAAATGTTTTCTTAAACTAACTGGAATTCAGAAAATAATGTAAATATTGATCTGCTAATTAAATTGGATGTTTATGAGTATCTCGGCCTTCATTTAATTTATATAATGTAACTATTAGAAACCATAGTATTATCACATGATTGTAGTTGGAAATCTGAAGTTAAAAGAAGATAGAGTTTTCTTTTCTTTTATAAATACTGCAGAATTAAGAATTCTTTACTGTTTATCAATTACTTTAAGTTACTAGCAAATTTTTAATGTTTCACTAGTAAATATGTCTCCTTTGAAAAAAAATTCAATCCCTAAAGTACTACTCATAAAAATAATCTTTTTATTTAGTGTTTTATTAAGCCAGCGTAGTATGCAACATGTTTGTAAATAGTTATAGAAACAACATATATCTACCCATATATAAGGGATGTTTTTTTTACGGCATTAAAGCATCCACACAATATAATTATATTGATTACTGTTTATAAAAAATCTCTTTTCTTGGGTAGATTTAGATTGTTTCTAAGACAATTTATCATATGCTTATCTCTTACCCTTTAATATGCAGCTTAATATAGAATGTAAAACTGTGAAATTTTTATAATATTATACTTGTAAATATTATTAATTACAAACTTAATATTGATTACTATTTGTTTAAAATGTTTATATGTACACATGACATTACACAAAATTTCATTTTGTAATCAGTTTTATATCAAAAACACATTATAAGTACAAGCAAGAAAAATACTTTACATTTTGAATAATAAAATCCTAACTTCATCCACTAAATTATATTTTCATCAGAAGGGGTTTTTGTGGATATTATAGTAATTTCAATAGTTGAGATCACGAGTCAATTGAAGCTAGGTCACCATGGAAAACCTGGAACCACTGGATGGCCGTTTCGTCTTGTTGTAGGACTTCTCAGCAGTGCGCGTTTTAGACACCGCCTCGCGAGATACGAACGCAGGGCCTATTGGTCTTGCGCTCAAACTCTAGATCACTGAACCGGCATACAACGTTGTTAATGTCCAACTTCAACTAATCCTCGAAATCGAGCTACCGAATACCATTGTCTTCAGTGACTTACTATCTCACAACAGACCTGGTTGAACTCAAGTGGTCACTGCTTCTGGTGGATGTGTCGCTTAATTTCGTGGATTAGTTGAAGTTAGATATTATCACTGTTGGATGCTGGTTCAGTGATCTAGAGTTTAAGCGCGAGACCGATAGGTCCTGGGTTCGAATCTCGCAGGGGCGGGTTCGTGGATGCGCACTGCTGAGAAGTCTTATACTAAGACGAAAAGGCCGTCGAGTGCTTCCAGATTTTTTATGATGATCTAACTTTAATTGACTGATGATCTCAACTACTGAAATTAAATTTTCATATTAAAAAATTAACTTAAAATTAGGGTTGATCAATTTTTTTATATATAAGTGATCAACACTATTTTAGTGTTTAATGTTATCTAGAATGATTTCTCTAACGTGTAGAATTTATAGTGACTGATACACATCGTCTTTATATAAATATGTAATATTCAACATTTATTTTCTGGAAATGAAAATCCTTACATCAATTCAGTGAACTTGGAAATAATATACAGATTTATTAAATACTTGATTATTGTTGAAATGTGAATGTCATTTCAAACTATTTGGGTTACAATAGTCAAGAAGATAAATTATTCTTTGTCCACATTATAACAATTCTGAACCCTGTCAATCCCCTGTCAAGTACTATTAATTAATTTAATCGTTTATACTAATGATATGAAGATGTTGAAGGAAGATTACTCTATATCAAAATTGACTGAAGTCGAAAACATTAATTACTGATGCTTGACTTGTTCTTCGGTAGAAATCATACTTGCTCCGAAACTAAAATTTCCAAGTTTTGATGAGGTCCAGAATTGTAAATGCCTACATTTGAGGAGTCTCAAATCAAATCAATTCAATTTTGCAGTGCTCTACACTTTATGTTAGTTTCTATAGGAAACATACTTCGGTACAAGAAGATCCAGATAATGATTCAGTATACAGATTTAAATTTGCATTTCTGGATTTAAGATATTTTGGTGTAATTGATATAATTTGTACTGAACCCAAAATTCTTTATAGGATGATCATAAAAATGAAAGAAAAGTGGTTAATTTATGTCACTTATCAGCATCTATAATACTCGGTTTGATACACACATCACCTCGTATACTGCTTACGATCTCATGGGATAAACAATAGGCGTGTTCGTAAAACTCTTTACCAATACGCAAATCCGACATATTTTCAAGTCTAAATTCAATTTTTTCTCAAAATTAAGACTCTTATCTCATAATGATGTGTTATAAAGAAATTAAATTATTATAATGTGGTTGAAATTGATCGACGAGAAACCCTGAAATTAGGTTTTGTGCTATCTGGCGCTCATCAGCAAGGCGTACCTTTGACGCTGTTAGAAACGATATCCAAGCACACCCCATCCAGTGTGAAAAGTTAACACTGAGCTATTCTGGCAACGGCTGACCTACTACAGCGCTGAAATATTTACAATTGATTGATCTAAGGTATCCTATCGACTACGTTCAACAATCTAATGTCTCAATATAGTGATATGATGTTAAGTGATCTCATTGGATCTTGATAAATAGGATTTTATCAGCATCAGGAGACCAGATAAACATGATATATACCCATTTCTCAACGATCAAGCAATTATGAGATTACCATCTATCTGTAACGTTCCACATTCTAGTTGGTTACTTTCTTGGATTCGTGAATTCGGTCATTTTACCATGTTTACCTGTTATTTTTTCTCTGTGTAGCTTAAATTTTAATGAATTATGTTAAATAGGCTTGATCAGTAAATTGGTTGCAGTCCAATTTAACTTTTCCTATCAACTTTACTTGTTTCCAAACGGAAATAAAAATTTTATGAACAGTAAGCTAATGAATAGATGTAATTAACAGATAATGAGATCGATAGAACTATGTTGAGCATACAGAAAACAATTTTTTATGTAAATAGTATCATCGAAAACTATTATTATGTCGTTGCAGTACAACTAAGTTGCGCTAATATTTCGTAGGCGTGTAACAAGAACTATGTTGGTTATAGATTGTTAGAACAATATTAGAACAAAAAAATATTACTAACTGACGTTTTACTAAAGGCTAACCGTGATAGATAGGTGAATAGAAAACAGAACTTATTAGTGTTATGATTTTTAAAAAAATGAATGTTCTTTGTTAATATAAAAATCTTAACTTGTTTCTTTATTACTTTTTATCATATATTAAAAACGTTTTAGGAATATTTAAAGGAAACTGATCATCCACTTGTACCAATCAGCGTAGTTTGCGGCAGTGAGAAATTAACACTGTTAAACAATGTTCTAGAATGAGACAATACGAAAATTATTTAACATCTTTTCAGTTGCATGAAGAAACATATTCAGAATGACAGAATTCAATCACCAGTTCAGTAGTTTTTTTCTACCACTATTTACCTCCATTATTTTTCTTAATAAAATGATCATTCCATTCCACTCCTATTTTGAAAATGTCAGATGATTTATTCACAGTTTTAAAAATATGATTCGTCTGTAAAGGATTAGTAAATTATTTGTCGATGTACCATTAGAAGTTCGACTGGCTGGTGACGAAATTTTGTTTAGCGTATCTGAAAATAAATTTTTCTAAAAATAAAGATTTATATTCTGAAAACTGAAGATACCCTCCTACAATCTAAATACACATATAAGCAAAGATGAATAATAGCTAGCGCGTCCTGAATTACATTGCTAGCCACAAAACATCTTTGCTTACAATGCTTATGACTTATGACAATATTGAGGCAATCCGTACATGATGTACATATGCCAATAAGAGACTGATCAATTGCAGTTGTAAACATGAATTGGAAGATTCAAACAACCAATACAAAAATGAATTGAAACACATATTTTTAATTATATCACTCATGAAAATTTTATCGGTTAATAGTACCAATATTAGCTATTGAATGTTTTTTTGAGCACATAATTATTGGTACAAAGGAACACCGAATACATATGCACCACATAAGTCACTTAACTTGTGTGTGAGCTATGATACTGCCCGGATGCCAATACCGGGGCAGGTAGTTTTCTTAGGGGGCAACACCCGGAGCCTTCGACCTAAAGGTCTGATCCAAAGTCAGTGGAGCAACGCTAGGAAGTGCAATCGTATGGTAGCCGGTGACCAATAATTGGTTCATACGCTTTTTGTTTCCTTAGGATCCTGAAGCCCATGTGAACCATCGGTTTAGAATCAGGGTCTTCCAACTTCCCTAGATGGATCCTCCGTGTCCACTAACCTGGTTAAAGAGCCGGATATCAGCTTTTCATCCTCTCAATTTCGTAAACAACACCCCTGCCACGAGAAGGTAGTGAGTAGGACTTCCTGACAGTGGCTATATACGTGTGGCCATGTGAGAGCATTTCGAGAAGGAGAGCTAACTCTTCCCACCCTCGGCCATATCAGGGCATTCGGGGGCCTGTTGATAATAATGAATGTTAATGATACTTAAATAAAACATTATTTGCTAAATACGTCCATTCGAACAATTAAATCTAGATTTTAAAGTAAATGAAAAATAATTCTTAAGTATATTTCGTTTTCTTAAAATATTCAATAAGATTTTGACAATCGTTTACTGAAAATCGGTTATGCAATGAAACAATGACCTTCACCTTAAATTGATTATTTCATCGACCTGAAATAGGTTTCCATTTAATTATCAAATACAGTTAGCTTATAGTACTTATTTCACTTTGTTGGATATATATTTGGTAAAAAAAGATCATGTTTCGGGTTAAATTTAATCAACAATAACAGTTAGTGGTTGACCAAAAACTTTTGAAAAGTTTGGAAAATTAAAATTATTTATCTGTATGAAGCGAATTATCGTTAATTAAGTACATGAACACTATGAAATCGTGCGATTATACAATGAATAGAGTATTTTACAAAATGAATAAAACTGAAACTTGACATGATAATAATAAATCCAACTGTGACAGTTAGTGATTATAGGTTGAATGATACAAGAATAATCACTTCCGTCAATGTTGGGGAAAGGTTTTGCTAAGGAATTTCAACAAATATGTCATCTATAATTAAAACTTTCTACCTACAACTACCTTGACTCCAAATAATAGTGAATGAAATGGATAATAATTAACCAAAAAGAATGCATTTTTAGATATGTTAACTATTGAAAAAGTTAAAATACGATAGTTTGTCAGAAAAAATCCCTTCAATTGATCTGAACAAATCTACTTTAAAGAGAACATTCTAAAGAAAAAATTTCGGTGAGATTATAATTTATAGACGAACCAAACAGATTAACAATATTAGGTCTTGAGTTTTGGCGCGAAATTAATTCATTCATTTGGCTAAATAGATTTTTGTCATTATAGTTTATATCAGTTCGTGATGAAAACCCTATACCTGATTCTTAACCCTAACCATCAATTGTAAATATTAATCCTGATTCCTCATAATAGTTTATAACCTTCATTTAGCAGTAGTATGTAGGTGGACATTCTCAAGGTCACTTTAGCGTCACTCAAAGGTCGTTCACAAATTATGGTCTCACCAAATTTTCTTTTTCAACAATGTCATTTAATAGAACCATATAATCGTATTTTTAATTATTTTTTGCATATAGTAAAGGTTAATCTAAATTCAGCTTTACGTAATCGTCAAATGGTATTAAGAAAACTTAACAAGTTGATGACTCAAAAGAAAATACAAATATTAATTAAAACATGTCAGAAACAACTTACAAAATAAAGTATGTTAGGACGGTGGTAAACCAAAAGATTTGACTCCACCTCTGTACATTCGGTTTGATCAAGTGCTAAGCACACAAGTTTCACGTTTCACACACAAAATACAACAGAAGAAACTGCTGTCTAGTATAATTATCCTTTGGGTAGTTATCGGACATCATTTCAACACCATAAGTGATGCATGTTAGTAAAGGAAAAGCGAGTTTCTTGTTTCAATTTGGAGATGTCTTTACGAACCAATATATCAAGGCTGGCAAGGCTTGCTTAATAAAAGCTCGGTTTACAAAATTTCTTGTTCTAATAAATAGTTGACTTAAATTCTGTAAACTTAGTAAACTATCTGATAGTCACATATACTGTGAATAACGTAAGGCAGCTTATATTAGGACATCCTTGTAAAGTTATCCTTAAAAAATAAAATTTGAATGAAACAAACACATCGCCTTTTAATTCCTTTCAAATATGTATATTTTTATAGAGATATCAGAGACTATCACTTTGTTCTTGTTCAAATAATCAGAAACAAGTAAACTGCTATATAAATGAGCTTGTTTCTATCATAATGCTACTAAACCACATTTCCTAGAAAACCGCATTTATTTTCGGAGTCCATAATATTTAGAACATCCCTACTGAAGTGATGTAAAAATCAGTTAATTGAAAATTGATTAGAGGGTATTCAAAATATGTACTGCATAATCGAGACTATTTCGCAAATGCACTGGGATAGCATATTTTTAGAAAAAAGAAAGATATAATTTCAGGTACAAGAATCTCTTAAAAATTGAAGTTCACTTATGAGTACTTTTTTAAGCTAATAAGAAATCAAGGTTCAGCCATTGATTAAGCAATGTATTCTTCTAATATATGCACTTAAATTTCTCAAGATCAGGTTTATTGTTTCGGTAAGCACAATTCTGTTCCGATTTTAAAAAATTAAGCGTAAAATCACTTGAATTATAACTAGATGTTTATTGAGTGCAAATGGTCTAACTAGAATCGCTCACTATACCCAATAATATTACTATCATTAGTATTGTTACTACCTTTGACAACTGGTGGTTCTCTCAAAACATAGTTATTCACTTAGATACGTATATTAAAGACCCTACATAATAAATACCAACTAACTTATTGCCATGATAGCTTTTAATAAATTAAAATTCATATAATTAACTGTGTTTCAGATTCGCATATATTTTATCGATCTCTGAATGCAAGACCAAATTATCAGTAAACATCAGAATATACCTAATCGTCTCTTCAACATATCCATCTATAACATGGTAATACGTTTTCTGGTATTAGTGTATAAATACTGGTTATTCGCTAAGAAAATCAATAATATGAAGTGATATAATTTAGTCAAATAACTCTTAAGTAACCTTTCTGTCTACATTAGTAAAGTGGTTTAATAATTGATGTAGATTTATGAAGACTGGGTTTTTCTTTTTCCTGATCATATATGGAGTAATCCTTCGAAGCTATACCGTAATAGTGTATTTCATTACGCGGTTGTTTTTAGACTGGATTGAAGATAGTCAGTATAAATGTTCAACTCTTTAGTGTATTACTTACTTACGCCTGTTACACCTCGTGGAGGAGCATAGGCCGCCCACCAGCACTCTCCATCCAACCCTGTCCTCGGCAATCCTTTCTAGCTCCGTCCAGTTGTTATTCATCCTTTTCACATCTGCTTCTATTTTTCCAACGTAGTGTGTTCTTTGGCCTTCCTTCTTTAGTGTACAATACATTTAAATTCTCTGTGACTTACATAAATATACAATGAAAATTCATATGAATAAAAATTATAATATTAGTTACTTGCAAATTTGTTAAATTGACATGACCTAATTCTGTCAAACACATTAATTAGTCTTCTTTATCTTGATAAATTTTTATTGTTTAGTGTACTATTACTGCGAAGTAGCGGAAACATTTACTGTTTAAGATTCAGTATCCATATATTAAATCTAAATAACAACACAGTTTACGAAGAGCATTTCTAGAAGAATAGTGGAACAAACAATTTTTTCAATAAAATCATCATAGCAATCAACCATTCATTAGTTACATCATATACATATACAAAACAAAACGCGTTTTCTAAATGCTTAACTATGTTTTCGCTCAAAACAACAAGATGTTTTGATGATTCAGAAAAGTTTCTATTCTTTGGTCACCGAACGGACTATAGCCAATAACAAGAATTTGCATTAGAGTGAAAGCACTTAAAAAGATAACATTTCAAGTTTTACAACTAAAAGTTGTTTAAACATCTAAATTCACAAATTCAATAGACAACTTCCTATTCCAAAGATAAGAACTGACCAGTTTTCTAATGAATATGAAATGTACTGATTTTCATACTTGAATATTATTCACTAAATACGTGACAAATAACACCAAAATATTACGATCATGAAGCAACCAAAGTCAGATAACGGTTGAGAACTAGGAAGCACTGGACAGATGTTTCACCCCAATGCGGGACTCCGAAGCAAAGCACATCCGCTACCCTACCGAGGACGGTCTTCATAAAACTCCTTTACTGAATATCATCGAGTTTAAAAATGAAACCAATAAGTTGATATCTGTGGGTGTGATTTGTATATTATTATTACGTTTCAGATACAGATTTGTTATCAGTATGATGGTTGTAGAGGATTTTTAATTTCATTGATATTACGAACCGATTTAAGTTAGGG